ATATATTTGTAATTCAAGATGAATGTTTTACTTTTCGTTTCTATGTTTAAAAGTTTTTTTTTGTTTCAGCCCAACAGCTTTGGATAGATTTGTGTTGCCTAAATCAATCGTAATTTTGTAACTTATTGATCGAAAAAGTCGACATAATGAGTTTCATAAAGTGGACAACACAAAAACTTGATCATAAAAAAATTTCGAACCAAGATTATGGCCTTATTGAGCCCAGTTAGAGATGTCCAATTTTTATTTTCCGGTTATCTGGGTTTTTACCTCAAGCGAAAAACATGTTTTCTAATTGTTGCGTTCAGATTTTTAGATTCCTCAAAATAGTCATTAGAACACGCTTTTAGATTTTATTGAAAAGGATATATATATGATGTTGTTAATTTGTTTATTTATTTAATGATTGTTTAGGAGAAGTTGCAATGTGAGGGGACCTTATTTGAAAAGAACTACAACGACAAATATGTTGTGGAATACTACAGAATACCATTAATCTATGTTTTCTTAAACAACGCTGTGGACACAACATAGTACATTCTTCAGGAATATAATAATTTCTGTATCTACTTCGAAAATGCACATATGGCTGATTTTGATGGCTTTCTCCGTGATTAGAAAAGGGAGTTTTTCTCTCTGAATCATGTTTTGCCATAAGATTTGATACACCTATTAAAAATATCAAGAAAAGTATAAAACAATTTAATCAATATATATTGTTAGAAATAGATGATAGATATATATTTTTTTTTTCATTTGATCGATAATAAGCTTACATGATGAAATAAGAATAAGAAATGTGAAAAACAAGAATGGAGTCTTCATTTTTTTTAAAAAAAACGTTTGAAAATTCGTTTTAAATTTTGAGTGTGAAGTTATTGAAGTCAAATTGTATCATATTTATATGTTGTTTTTATATTTATGTTACAAAAAAAAAACTAATGCTCTTTAACGTTTTTCTTAGAAATGATAATTAGAAAAACTATACCCTCTAAATTACTGTTTTAGTTTAAAACAAGAGAAATTGTTAAAAATGCCCTTTTTTCAATACCCCTTTTCAAAAATGCCCCCTTTGAGAGTTCATTTTTAAGTTTGCCCTCTTTTAATTTTTAATGACCATTTTACCCTTATTTGAAACAAAATTAGGTCCACAAAATACAAAATATTTTTTGGCGGGAAAAGTGATCCCGCAATTTTCCCGCCAAAACACTTGTAAAAAACCTTTAAAATACCTTGTAAAATTTTCCCGTAAAATTTTTCTCGCCAAAAAATTTTCCCGCCAAAAAATTTTTTTTGCGGGAAAAGTGATTCCGCAATTTTTTTTTTTGGCGGGAAAATTTTTGGCGGGAAAAATTTACAAGGTATTTTAAAGGTTTTTTACAAGTGTTTTGTAAGGTTTTACAATGTATTTTAAAAGGTTTTACAAGGTACTTATAAGGTTTTATAAGGTATTTATAACTTGTAAAACCTTATAAAAAACTTGTAAAACCTTATAACTTGTAAAAACCTTATAAAATAGCTTGTAAAATCTTATAATATCTTGTAAATACGTTGTAAAACCTTTTAAAATACATTGTAAAACCTTATAAATACCTTGTAAAAAACCTTTAAAATACCTTGTAAATTAATTTTCCCGCCAAAAATTTAACGCCAAAAAAATTGCGGAATCACTTTTCCCGCAAAAAAAAATTTTTGGCGGGAAAAATTTTACGGGAAAATTTTACAAGGTATTTTAAAGGTTTTTTACAAGGTTTTACAAGTGTTTTGGCGGGAAAAATTGCGGGATCAATTTTCCCGCCAAAAAATATTTTGTATTTTGTAGACCTAATTTTGTTATATTTCCTTATATATTTGTGATATATTTTATTAAAAGAAGGGTAATTTAGTCATTTTGTACATAAAAAGGGGTATTTTTAAAAATGGACAGCCAAAGGGGGCATTTTTGAAAAGGGGTATTGAAAAAGGGGCATTTTTGTGAGTCTCCCTTAAAACAATCAAGGTTGTTACAATTAGTAATCAATTCTGTCAAAAATAATCAATTAGTTATGTTATTGTTAATATAAGCTCTCATGTAGTAATGGATTGGAATTCGACATGAATATTGGATATTTTGTTTCCATGTTTAAAAGTTTTTGTTTCAGCCCAACAACTTTGGATTGATTTGTGTTGCTCCTCTCCCCAATGAATGTCCACTGCCAGAGTTATTCTATTTATTCAGAAAATAATAGTATCCATTAAAAATAACTTAAATATCATTATTTTTCTCTTATGTTAATAAGATCCTCCACAAAACCATGAGAGATCGAGAGAGAGTTACAAATTTGACGAAAATGACAATTCCCAAGCTAAAGTGATTATACAAAGAGACAAAGAGTGCTTATATACTAATCAAACTGTACAAGAACTAAAACAGAAGATAAAACTAAAGTAACCAACACTCATAATCTCTAATACTGTAGACTGCATTAAGTGATCACATTCACTGATGCTAATCATAAGTTCATAACTGCTAGACTTCAATATTCTTTCCAACAACAAAAGAATATGGCTTTCTTCTTCCCTTTTCCCTGTTTTCTTTTAATAACCGAGAGATCTATATAGTATATAGTGACATTAATAACCAAAAAACGTCTCTCTTTAATACATACAAAAGGATAACTCAAAAGACCATATCCGCATACCATGATGGCATGATCAGTAGATACATGTGAAAAATATGTGTTAACTTTTTTCTTCTATTAATTAAAGTATTGGGTAATGATGCACCAAAATTGAAGCCTCTTTGTGAAAGATAGGCTCGTCTTTCATGTAATAAAAAATGTATACAAATATGTTTTTTTTTTTAATTATGCCTAGGAGGATGATGACCAGGGTTGCTATAATCGGCCGTCAAACTCGCCGTTTTGGTGAGTCTCTTCTTGTTTTTTCTTTTCTTCACCATTTCTTTACTCTCTATCTCTAAACCATTCTTCTTATTTGCCTCTACCTTCACATTTACATGCTTCAACGTCTTTCGGTTTTCGATTAAATCTTCAGCAGGCTAAGAATATAAATTGTTCTAGTTAATGTTTATTGATCAAAACCAATATCTATAATTTCTACTTCATCATACAAATACGGATTGAGAATTGAATACTATAGTATTAGTACGTACCTTGTTGGCAATTTGAGTACTAGTTCTTGCTCCAAGCCCTTCACTATTTTCCGTTTGTGGAGCTATAGAGAAATTTTGATAAGCATGTTTATAAAACTTAATTACCTATATATACGTTTATACACTAACGCCGAAACGGCAAAACATACATAAAATTAATGTAATATACACAGATTTATGTAGATATACCTTGGCTATTAAAGTTTGCATTGGAAACTTTAGCATGTAGTTGCAAAACGGAAAATATTAAAAGATAGCAAATAACCCTTATGGACACCATCTCGTCTTCCTTTTTTCCCCTTGGCTTGATGTACGTATAAATGTGTGTGTGTGAAAAGAAAAAGAGTAAACTTGTGTTTATATGAGGGAGAAGAGGGTGGGAAGGTTATATAGAGCGACAAAAAGTCCAAGAAGAACAAAAAGAGCTCAAGGTCAAAGCTAGTATTCCAATAACCTTTACTATCTTTCTTTTAAACTTAAATTATAGTTTATAGTAATATATAAGAAATAAATCAAAATGGAAAATGCGTTTAACTATTTTTGAATGTTGATTGTGCTTGGGGATTGTCTAAATAGAGACAAAAATAACAGGTGCCAAGTCCAATGTTGTTCAAAGCTTTGGTTTTGGGAATTCTTTGTATATTATGTGTTGTGAATTATATATATTGCAATTAAATTTTCCATGTGATAAGAATACTTGCTTATTTTATTTTTGATAAATGGCGTGGCGTCTAAGTTTTACTGTAATAATACATAAGATTGTTTTATGATTAATATGATAAGATATGGTATATAACATATTTTATGAGTTTAGAATACGTGCATTTTACAATGCTTCCTCCGTTTTTCTAATATAACAACATGTTTTAGCTAGGAAAAATATACGATATTATATAGGGCTTCTATTATATAGAGTTATAGATAGACATATATCACACATTTTGTTTGTTTTTTTGGTAGTTTGCATGTATCATACATATGCATACACAATCGTATTCTTTTTTTTTTTTTTTTTTTTTTACACAATCGTATTCTAATTAAAAAGAGAGAGAGAAAGAGGCTGTTACTAAACCCTAGAAAGTGGTATTACAACGTGATTAGTCAAAGTGTCGAGTGTCGACGACTCGACGTAGTTTTCAACTTGCAAGCAGACAGGATTGGTTTTTGTACCAAACCGAAGACATTAGAGATTTTTTTGGTTTAGAATATTAATCCTACAAACCAAATGTGAACAGAAGATGCTTAAAAGGATTATTATTAGAAATAGGTTGGATCGTGAAACGAATGATGGGAATTGGAAATTACATAACACAACTTATGCAATAGCAATATTTGCAATTTCGGTATGAGTTAAAAGACCGAAAAAAGAAATTAAACCAGCACCGGCCAACAAATGTAGAAAACCGACCAGAGGCTCTTGATTTTAACGCAGTCGTTTTCGGGATACTAAAAACCTCATGTGGATGTGAAGAATGAGATCTTAATTTATATAAAAAGATGTAAACTTCAAAATTGGGTTTTACTTTCCAAGACATCTTCACGTGATGTTTTTCTATATGCTCTCTAAAATATATCTTTATAAGTTATAACTTTACCATCAAATTATTAAAAATAACAATGTTATTTTATCCGCGATCACCCTATCTTATCAAAAACCACATAGCCATACACATTTATTCAGAATTGGTTGTATCCAATTCTCAACATTTGGTCTATAATAGAATTTATATGGTATATATCCATAATGTACTGAAAATTTTGCAGCTTGCGAAGGTTTAAAAAGTCAAAAAAAATTACCTGCACTACTCCTCCCCAATATTTACCAATTTACCACGGTCCTTTACTTATGCTCCGGTAGAAAAATCACTCGAATCAGTTCCAAGAAGCCCATTTCGGTTCGGCCCATTATATCGTGCATCAGTGGCATTTTTGTACTTTTCGTCCATTAAATATAGTCAAAGAAAGTTTTTGACGCAAATTTTAAAATCAATTAAAAAAATAGTTTAAGTTTCTTCTCAAAAAGCGAGAGAGAGAGAGAGATCCGATCCAAGGCCGGAAAATATGGCGGAGATGTCTTGCCTTCAGATCCACGATGCTAACGACGCCGTTTTCAACCATTACCACCACCAACGGCGGCTACATGATCACCTGAGAGATCAATCGTTTTCTCAGATCCTCTATCCGCTTCCTCACTGGGTCCAATCAGACGACGGCGATCTCTACGTCTCTGAATCCGATTTTTCTCCCGGCGACGTTTCGGTATCCGATTTAGTATTCACGGCGGCCGACGGTCTTGATCTACTCGATCGGCGTAGCTTTGTCATGGATCTGTTCCACCAACGCGTTGAGCAATCTCAGGTAAGTCCGCTTGATGATGACGGAATCGATGATTTCGAAAATTACGAGATGCGTGGAGATAATGTGGAACTTCATTTTGGATTGGAGTTAGAATCTGGTTTCGTTGATAGTGATCTTGTTGTTAACCTTAATGAACACGATTTCGTTGATGGGATGAGGTTATTAGGGATTGAGTCACGCGATGTTGTAGTTACAGTGGAATCGGGTTTTGATTCTGATGATGAAGATGATCAAGAGAAGGAGGAGAGTGAGATTTGGGGAATTGATTTGAATGAAGAAGATGAGTATGTGAATGGGGAGGATGATGATGAAGATGAAGAAGATGCTAGTGTGACAATCCCTCTTTGTTGGGATTCACTTCAATTGGAAGATTTAGGAATTAACAACGAGGAATTCGAATGGGAAGAAGTTGATGGTGATGATGAGAGAGAGGTTTCAAGCGTTTTAGATGATAACAATTCGGTATCAGTCTCTGTGTCAGCCACAATCTCTTTAGAAGATTTAGCGATAAGTGAGAGAAGGGGAAGTAGTAGTCTAGGGTGGGAAGTTTTGTTGAATTCTCGTAGTCTCGAGTTTAATCTAGATGATGCAGAAAGCAACTTGGAGTTATACATTGGTGATATTGATCATGAAGAAGAAGATTATGAAGATTATCTTCATACAACAGAGTATGAGATGTTGTTTGAAGCTGAGATCTCATCTGGTATTGGTAAGCCTCCAGCATCCAAATCATTTATAAAGAATCTAAAAGTGTCTCCTCTGACCAATGAGGATGTTATGGAGAAAGATGATGACGCGGTGTGTTGTGCGGTTTGCAAAGAAGAGATGAATGTAGGAAAGGAGGTTGCAGAGTTGCCTTGTAGACATAAGTACCATAGTGAATGTATTGTTCCATGGCTTGGGATTAGGAATACGTGTCCTGTTTGTCGTTTCGAGTTGCCTTCGGATTGAAGACTTAAGCAGGGCCGGTTTTGAAGACCCTGAAAATTAGGGTTTACAAGATGATGACTTACTTGTGTAATTAATAGGATATCTTGACTTGCGGGTCTTACTAGAGTTAGAGCCAGTAAAAAATATTTATGAACAAAATTTTGTTTTGTTTTTCCCTCTTAAATTGAAAATTTGTTACCTTTTTCATAATATTCTTATGTTCAACTTGTATTACAAACCAAATTTTTATTGGGATGATTATTGGAGACTAACACTTGAAAAAAATACTAAGCTATACGACATAAAATCATTTTTAAACTAGCACATTTTGATGATATTGACGACATATAGTTATAGATTGTGTAATTTTTCAGTAATAATCTTCTTAAAGAATATTCTGTGTTGTGTCATTTAATCACCCAGAGATTCTTTTGCCTCGATGGGTTCAGGTTGGTTCAGACGAAACTTTGCAGAAAAGAGACTTATTGTCCGTTTCTGGAAACAAGACATTGCCTCTCCGTAACGTTAATCACCATTTTGGTTAGCACTTTCAAAGCTGTTAAGCATCATTATCTCTCTTAATTGTGTTTCGTTTCTGCTTTAAGCCTTTAATTAGCCTTGAAATTCAAGATTATTCCTTAATCTCAGTCTGGAAACAACGCATTAATGTCTTCCTTTTTTTTTTTACTTTATTGCGGTAGGTTGTATTTGCTATCGGCATTATTTTCTTCTCATATGATTAAGATCCAATTACGAAAAAGGAATTAAGATAACAACTTTATAAAATTAGCATTGTCTTTGTACAAGTAGGTACAACAGTTTGATTAACTTACGCTAATGGTACTAGTTTACGCTAATGGAACATCATCTTGAATCGTTTCACATTTTCTTTTTATCTACTTTTAAAGAAATTATATAATTCCTAGGATTTTCTAAATTGACGAATAGACTCGGAACAGTAAAATTGCGAGTGAAAATAGCTAAAAACGTGCAAGTTAGCATCCACCGACCTATTTCACTACGAAGTCCTCTGATGACACAAACATTATTGTATTACACACGAATTAGCTTACGTCGGATTCACACATAACTGAAAAAAAAAAAAAACATAAAAGGTGTTTCTAGGATTTTTATGGAATCAAAACAAAAAAAAAATGAGATGAAAAAATAAGAATAAACAAAAGAAAGATTAATGAAGCAGTAGTATATATCTAATACATAATTCATCTCCTTTTTAGGAATTTCAAATGATCAAAACAAAGTTTTATGGATTGTTTTCGTTAATCGATCAAGTTAAATGTGACCAAACGGCTCATTATATAAAAAATTTGTAAAACAAAGAAAATAAAAGGACATGAAAATGAGGTTATCGTGAGAAACAATAGACTAACCTTGACAAAGATGTAAATAAGTGAGATTTTGTCAAAAAGTATCACTAGATAGTTTAGGTAGTGGAAAGTTTTAATTGCTAAGCAAAAAATGTAAAACAATTGTCTTCATGCAAGTAAATTTGTGTGTCATTATATAGCATCCATCAACCTTAAGTATGAGCCTACACAAATCTTTTGTCTCTTCTCTCATTCTCTATCTTCCTCATTCTCACTAGCTCTAGTTCTATCACTCTCCCTATCCTCTCGATCTCTCACTTTTGACGTTTCTGATTTCTGCATCACAGAGAATTCAGTTTGATGATTAGACATCTAAAACCCTACATGGAGTCGTCTAGTGTCCATCGCTCTCATTGTTTCGATATTCTTGATGGAGTCCCACTACAGGACGATCATTTCAGCTCAGCCTTCCTACCAAACACTGACTTCAATGTCCAGTTGAATTCCATATCGACCCGCAGCAACAATCAGTCTCACTTAGACCCAAATGCAGAAAACATTTTCCATAACGAGGGTCTTGCTCCAGAAGAAAGGAGGGCAAGAAGAATGTTCTCTAACCGGGAATCTGCAAGAAGGTCACGTATGCGCAAAAAGAAGCAGATCGAAGAGCTGCAACAACAAGTTGAACAGCTCATGATGTTGAATCATCACTTGCATGAGAAAGTCATCAACTTGTTGGAAAGCAACCACCAAATCCTGCACGAGAACTCACAGCTGAAAGAGAAAGTCTCTTCCTTTCACTTGCTCATGGCAGATGTGTTATTACCCATGAGAAATGCAGAGAGCAACATCAATGACCGCAATGTGAATTATCTAAGAGGAGAAACATCAAACCGTCCCACTAACAGTCCCTTTGGTAAGTAAAATAAAGTTTCATGATCCACTCTTCTAGTTCTTGGTGTGTTTACTAAAGCCTGTAGTACTCTGATTGATGCATATATGTGACTAGTGACTACTACACTAGCAGTTACTTGAATTTGCATGTAGACAATGGATAACAACAATGCAGTAGCTATTATTGTTTAATATCTACATGTTTCACATTATTGGTCTAAAGAAGTAAATCAACTTAAGCAAAAGGTTCAACAAACATTGTTAACACCAAAAACAGAACAAAAAAAAAAAACTAAATGGGCATATCTGGTTTCTTGCCAACATCACAACTGTCCTCTAAGACAGTACCTCCATTGGAGATTTCACCATTGGGTATCTCTGCAGAAGCTGAATCAATAACCTCTTCTTGTTCTTCTTGTTCTTCTTCTACTTCTCCTACTTCTTCAACTTCTTCTTCAACCTCTTCTACTTCTTCCATTTCTTCTACTTCTCCTACTTCTTCTTCTTCTTCATCTTCTTCTTCTTCTTCTATGCATTGTGGCGGGTCTACAAACGAAGCATCCGGGTCTGCATACCAACGTGCACAAGGCCACCTAAAAGCAATATCCAAAAACCAAGATAAACAGTATTACAAACACACAATCGAAAACTTATGACAAAACCTCTGTTTTACTTACACGCTTGAACAAATGGTTTCACCATCAATTGTAGTTGTCTCCTCATACTCATCCACTGAAACAAAAACAAAAACAACAACACCCCAAAAAGATCAAATTTTTATGAAAATTCAACCTAAAGAACAACACTGATTGAAACTAACCTTCAGAGAAGTGCTTATCCATGAGATACTTCCTAAAGTCAGCTTCGTATCTTCGATACTTCTCAGCATACTCTTCGCTATCCAAATATCTAACAATGAAATTGGTATTTGTGAACATTCAATTTTAGGTTCTTCAATTGCACCACAAAGAATGGAAAATGAAAGCAAAATTACTTGTAAAAAGATGGTTCTTCATCAATCAATTGATCTGTTAAAATTCCGTTGCTATTCACAATATCCATCATCTGCAATACAATCGGAGTTTTATAGATCGTGTAAATTACTCAGTGAGAGAGCAGAGAGAGCGGAGAGAGTACCGTAATTTGTGGCGGCGGAGAGGGAGGAGCGGCGGAAATGAGTTCAGAGATGACTGGATTCTCATGCGGCGGTGGCTGCTCCACCGGAGATGTAGCACTCTCGCTAGTGGTAGATGTGGAGGAGAGTGGTTGGATGCGTCGATGGGGGCCAGCGAATGTTTGAGACAACAAGGCGGCGAGAGATTGGTTCTCACGGTGAAACAAGTTCCGGCTTCAGGCGTTGCTCGACGGTACAGGCGACAGATCGGTAGTGACTGCGAGGTTAAACTTGAGGTGGGATGGTTGAGACGAGAAGATTGGTTGATTGGAGAAGCGGGGTTGCGAGTCGGAGAAGAAGACCGAAGAAGGAGAAGAAGGATCTAGGGTTTGGTCGGGTTTAGGCAAAAGGAGAGAATCATCGAGTACCTTTGGTAGTGACTGCTCTTGGTTTAACTTGAGGTGGGATGGTTGAGACGAAAAGATGGGTTGAGACGAGAAGCGGGGTTGCGAGTCGGAGAAGAAGAAGGATTTCGGTCCTCGATCTAGGGTTTGGTCGGATTTCGACCAAGACAAGAGCTTTCGTTGCAGGAGGCTGGAATTGAAAGTGAGATCGGTATCAGTAAGTACCTGGAAAATCGATGTGGATTCGGAAGAGCAAAGATTGAGCTGAAATCGTAGTTAGTCTTAGAGTCAAAGAGTGGTGAAGGAGAGGGATAGATTGTGGGAAAGAAGGTGAGGAGAGAAACAACTGAGATGGCTTTTGTTGGAAATTGATCCTATACTTAACCCTACTTGAGAGACGAGATCAAGAGAAGTGTGGAGAAGATGAGAAGAGGCTGCAACAAAGAGATCGTAGAAGAGGAAGAGACAAATAGAAAGCTTTGTCGTAGAAAGAAGAAGAAGTTAAGTGGGCTGAAAGAGGCCAATGGGCCATGTGCTATATGTAAAGCTTAAATATTAAGTGGGCTGTTTTGTGTATTATTAAGACAAAACAATTAAGCTAAGTAGGTTTAATATTTTAAATAGAAACACAAAAAAGTAGAAACACTTTTAAATAACAGAAACATTAAAAAGTTTTACATTTAATATTATAATTTTTTTTGTGTATTAGTTTCACAGATAACCTAAAAAAACAACAAAATTAAATATCTAACCTCTAACCCCCCTATTCACTCTCTTTCTCTTCCTATCTCTCTCTACCTTCTTTCTAAAAAACTAATTTTTCTTTTTTTTTGGGTTATTCACCTAAATCACCCAAAACTCAATCTATTGACGGGGACTATGATTGTACACTATCTTTGGTTTTTTTTTTGTCATTTATATTAGAATCAATTTATGAAGACTAAGTTTTTGTCTTTTTTTATTTCTATTTTAAATTTCATTTTTATATTTGAAAGTTATTAATTTAAATAAATAAAAATTAAGTATTTTCCCACGTAATTAAGTAATTTTGTGTCAAGGTTATTTTCCCATAGTTTCTTTTCTACTTACGGAATTTGATCAATTTAATAGGATATTTGTTGTGTGTGTATATGTATATACTAAATTTATATAAGAAATCAGAAATCAGAGTCCTCAAATCTTGGGGTTGGACCCTTAAGAGGCTTTTTGAGTACGGGCCTTTAAGTTGTCGTGCAAAAATCGAAGCTCTCATCTCGTTTGTCATCATCTTCGGCTCTCTTAATATCATATATGGTCCATGATAATTAGTGTTTGTTGTTTGTGCATTGCATGAAAATGTGATCGGGACATATGAGTGAATAGGTTTACGAATCTTACTAAACTTTATCTAACATCAGAAGTAAATTTGTTTTTTGAAACAAAAAGTAATTCAATAAATTAAAATAGGACATGTAAACATGATAATCTAGTAAATTTCATATGGCGTAATGATTTTTTTTCTTCTAATCCAAAAAATGATCATTATGTTTTCCATAAAATCATATTATTGTAAGATCTGTACCACCGCCAATTATGGTACTCTAATCCTATATATGTTAAATCGTTGAGCACGACAAAAAGAGAAATTGGTACATCAAAAAAGCATTCAATACCACAAATGATTTGGTACTCACAAATAAGATCTTTTAGACAATGAAATTGATGATCGATCGAGATCAACATCCGCAACTATCCTCGATATTTCAATATAAATCACTAAATCATATTTCTACATTCACAAAAAAACAAACACATCCATCTTTCATATCGAAAACAACTCTACAAAAATCTATCCAAATCAAAACATATCACAATCTGTTTGTTACCCAGCCCAGCCGTATGTGTATGTATTTGTATGTATGTGAGTATGCGTGTGTTATGTACAATAAATGGAAGTATGATAGACGAGAGCTGTGAGATGTTGATGGGAGATGGGCCTAGTGGGCCCAATGATCACGTGACAGATGTGATGATGGTATAACGAGCTAGGACCCATGGGCCTTAAGAAGACTTTGCTATCTCAACCGACCACCGACGACTGAACCTTGAGCATTGATGGTGACCTTTCCACTCAACTCACTGACACGCCCCGTTGTTTTAGTAAACACTCTTCATATGTATTAGAGTATAGTATCTCTGCCCATAAATAGTATGTTATTGATCTTACTATTTTTATATATTCTTTAGATTTTCCCTTTTTTTAGTTTCTTATAGCTCTCAATACTAAACAATTACTCATAAAATTTCTAGATGCTCGTATTACATTTTGAAATTTATTGTATATATAGAGGATTAAAAAGCAGGTCTATATCTATATATACATGACCTCATAAAGGTATGGTCCGTATGGATTGTGAAATTACTAGCTCCTAGCGAAGGACACCTGTGTGTACCAATAGTATGCAGTTATGCACCTATGTGACTGTCCAGGTGGGGTCAACTTTTTATATTTTTTCACTTTTTTTTTTTTTTCATTTTTCATTTCTAAATGATTATATTTAATGTTTAATTAACCGAAATATTTGCAAAAACGAATTAATTTTTTTATGGCAAGTGTTTTTTTAATAACATAAACTTAATTTCTTTTTTAATTACAAATATCATGTCATTATATTTGATAGTTATTTATTTAAATTTTACTTGCTATTGTTGCAAATTAAAAGGGTTTGCTAATTTATCAACAGTTTTGCCATAATATTTTGTTTGCTAATATTTGTTCCCATATAATTATTTACCCAAATAATATTATTTGCCCGTGAACTACGGAAACTTTACATTCTGATAATCGAGCGAAATAGTGAATGTAATTAATTAATTTAATTAGATTCGTCAAACATTCGACATTAGAAAATGTCAAATACTTTAGATGCGTGTGGGTGCAGTGTGGTGCGCACTGTGCACATGCATATTGAGGCATTATTCGTATAGTGAATGTTATTGACGTCCACAGATAGTAGAATATCCGAAACTCGCATGAACATAATGAATTTTATAATACTCCTAATGTTTTGTGATAATTATAGCCACGTCGTATCAAAGCGCATGTGTAATGAACAAAGGTTCTTGCATGAACAGTTGAACACTTTAGTAGGATATTGAATACACAAGACGTTAATATATTTTGCGTCAATCCCGATCACTATTGAATTTTTCGAAACAAAATCAATGTGTTCACTCGCAGATATTAGACGATGTGGAAATTACTATGATTAGTTAACACATCTACGATAAGCATTTTAGTGAAATTAATTAATTGTCTTAGTTTTTTTTTCCTATATATCGACATGTTTCTATATAATTATATATTAAGACCAGTTGCTCAAACCAGATACGAGGAGTTTACATATCAAAAATCTCTAGAATGACCTCTAATAATTCGAGTAAAACAACATCGGCTTGTAAAAAATATTAAAATGTTAAATTTTGCATCATCAAAACATTTTTTGTTGTTACCAATTTACCATCAATATAATGATTACAACAATATGTGATTTTATTATTGTCAATAGTATAAGTTTAGAGTTTTAGAGTTTAAGGTCTGGGCAACTACAGCGGTATATTAATGATACAAACACAAACAGTATTATAGGCTCATTGCTATTGCTATTCATCACTGTCTTTGATAATAATATCACAAACAATATGATATGTAATTCACTGCTAAGTCTCATCACTGTCATGCATCTTTGACATATGAGCGATGAGCATTGTATTATATGTCTGTATGTCACTATTATCGTGTTTTCAGTTAGCACTTTGCACCCGACATTTGCTTACCCACTCTAGTGGTCCTAATTGCTCTTTCCACTAAAATACGGGTCAATTTCATAATTTCTGAAAATATACGGACATCATCCAGTATGAATTATAAAACCATGGATATTTCAAGCGAAGGTACGTTCAATTTAATGCGAACGCTGATTATGAATTTCAATTCACTTTTTATACAAAATGTAACTTTGTAAGAAATAAAAATCATAAAAAGGTACGGCATTTTGTTTTGTTTTTGTTCAAATGCATTTTGGTTTCAACTACGGGTTATAAATCATATCAACTGCAACTATGAATCATATCAATTACCAAGGCTTATTCGAAAATCCATAGAACTCTGGACTATAGGTCTAAATTAAAGGTTTTGGAATGTACAAAACTAGTTGCGATTACTTAATTTGACAACCGGACAAATAATTGCGATTTATAAGTACCACATTTGTACACATACACTACATTCTCATACCAAATAGTTTTATCATTCTTAAGAGGTATACGGTGACGTGGCATAAGAGGAACCACTGGAACAGGCCACAAAGCTCTTTGAATCAGCAGATAAAGCGGGGTGGCCGACAAGTCGACAATCCAATTTATGTGGACATCAAACTCTTACGTTTCTTCATCCTCCACGTGTCCTCTTATCCTTATCAACCGCCCAGATTCTTCCCAATACAACCAAAATCTTGGCCCACTATTATTAGGGTTAAATTTGTTATATGCGTTTTCAAATCCGTCTTTCAAAATTTCTTTGTGAAATTGACGTGTTAATTAATAAAGATTAGACTTTCATGGTTTAATTATAAGAAACTCAACGGAAGATAATCTATTTGGGAAAAAAAACAAGATTAATATAGTAAGGTTTTGAACGAAAAACTTTGACGAAGGACTGTTATACCACTATGACAATTGTTAAAATCACTATTTAACATTGAAATATTTTGTATATCTAAAAGTGACATAACTAATTAATATAATAATTATTCAAAGATGACTGTAATTATGTGGCAAGTGTTCACTGTTCAAACCTTAAACATACAACAAATGTTAGACGATAGAACTTGGACGTTGTTTTTTTCTTGTAGATGAAGCAACGGATTTTAGCTTTTGACAATGCCTATATTATATTTCCAATACAAAAAGTTTGTGAAAACAATGCAAGTGATTTCATTAAAGCTCTACGCGTAACTTCAAATTCCAAAAGAAGCTTCTCGCGAAAATACCTATTTATGTGTTAACAGTGTTATGTTTCACTTTCACACGCAAAGTACAATTCGATACTTATTTAAATTAAGTACAAAAACTTTAGTACATCAGAAATGATTCTAGCATGTCCAAGCAACGTAGTTCAGTGAGATGTATCATGTGGACTATGTCTTAGTCTCTCAGACTCGGTACGAGGATAATATCTAAAGATTAAATACAATTTGTATAGCATATAATATAGTTATATACGTAATCACTAGTCAACCCATTTAAAACATTTCATATGATATGAGATTTAAAAATGCGTAGATTAGAGAAAAAAATGCGTAGGTTATTTAGACTTCTAATTCATTTCTATATAGTTACAGAATATGATTCATTGTTTTGCTGTTTATTGTTTTAAAGATGCTGCTGGAAAATATGGATTCGAAATTTCGAATCGTATTTTCAGTTACATTATCTCATTATATTCGTTACAAGATATTAACCTCTTAACGAAATAAATTGTTGTCCCCAATAAAAATTTGATTGTTCAAGAAACAATTTGATATGTATCTTACGAAACAGAAAACTACTTTTTTTTTTTTTGACGTCTAGATTTATTATTTATTGCAAATTATGAGAATTGTTACATAGACGATTCTACAACGGACAATTCCTTCCGACCCTTATTAGATCCACGACAGACGACACTTCCTTCTCCATGCTCTTGACGGACACCTTCAATGATCCACGACCTGACGACACTTCTCTCTCTGCGTAGAATCCTGGCGAACGGCTATAATTGTACTTCGCTGGCGATCTCCTGCACACTTGTCTCCTTTAATCTGCAAATTTATTAATAAATCGCAATATCTGGGACTCGAACCCCAGACCTCTTGGTGTAGAAGCATTAATTAACCCTTGTTCAACCAATGGGCCAAGGGGGCTTCCACAACAGAAAACTACTTAACATTTTTAAAAAAGTTATAGTTCAAAAATTCTTGCATTAACAACATTTCGAAACTCTGGGGATTTACTATAAAATTTGATGTGAAAATAAAAGATATATAAAAACTAATATTTTTTTATCAATCATTGGACGTTTGATGCGACTTCTTTGGCATAAATAAATATACAACCGAAATATAACAAATCACTTGAATGCGCAAAGATATTAATAAATAATAATTCCATGGGGCCAATTTTTGGACTCGAAGCTAACTTCTGAATACAGCCACACTACGGGATTGTAAAATGCAAAATATCACAGGGGCATAATCATAATTTAAACATAAACTGCCTGTTCAGACATATGAAAGATATGCTTTGTCAGAGTTTCAGAACAAGTCTTTCCCATGCTTACCAGTTACCACTTCACCTCTCTCTCTCTCTCTCTTTCCTTCACCACTGTAACCTCCCAATTCAAAAGAAATTATAACCCAAACTTGTTTATTATCATCTCTTCGAAATGCAAGATATTCATGATTACTCGATGACCGGAGTTGGCGGTGGAGGAGGAGGTGGAGGAGGGAGGTTTTTCGGTGGAGGAATGGGCGGTGGAGGAGGTGGCGATCGGAGGATGAGAGCTCATCAGAACAATATACTTAACCATCATCAATCTCTCAAGTGTCCTCGTTGTAATTCTCTTAACACAAAGTTCTGTTACTATAACAATTACAATCTTTCTCAGCCTCGACACTTTTGCAAGAACTGTCGTCGTTACTGGACTAAAGGTGGTGTTCTCCGTAACGTTCCCGTCGGAGGTGGTTGCCGGAAAGCTAAACGTTCGAAAACAAAACAGGTTTCATCGTCGTCTTTACCCGACAAACCAACGACGACGCAAGATGATCATCACGTGGAGGAGAAATCGAGTACGGGATCTCACTCTAGCAGCGAGAGCTCTTCTCTCACCGCTTCTAACTCTACCACCGTCGCCGCCGTCTCCGTCACCGCGGCGGCAGAGGTTGCTTCGTCGGTTATTCCCGGTTTTGATATGCCTAATATGAAACTGTACGGGAACGGGATCGAGTGGTCGACGTTACTCGGACAAGGCTCATCGGACGGTGGAGTTTTCTCAGAGATCGGAGGTTTTACGGCGGCGTCGGCTATTGAAACGACAGCGTTTGGATTCGGGGGTAAATTCGTAAATCAAGATGATCATCTGAAGTTAGAAGGTGAAACTGTACAGCAGCAGCAGTTTGGAGATCGAACGGCTCAGGTTGAGTTTCAAGGAAGATCTTCGGATCCGAATATGGGATTTGAACCGTTGGATTGGGGAAGTGGCGGAGGAGATCAAACACTGTTTGATCTAACCAGTACCGTTGATCATACATACTGGAGTCAAAGTCAATGGACGGCGTCTGACCAAGATCAGAATGGTCTCTACCTTCCTTGATTCTCTGATCATAACTTCTTCTGCTTAACCCAAATATATATATTTCATACACATAAGGTAAAGTTCGATGAAGTGGTTTATTTTATTTGATTTTTATGGGTTTAAAACGGGATTTATTATATAATTATATGACTGTTTGAAATATAAAATTTACCTTCGTTTTTTGGTTAGTTTTTGGAATATCCCAAGAGTGCAAATTTATGTGGCATGGTTTTAATTTGGCTTCGGTTCAGTTTTGGAACTGGCCGTTTTACTTATCCTTGTATATTTGATAAGATTTTAATTTTCTGGGATTTTTTTTTTGGTTTTCATTGATGTATCTATTAAATTTATATATTGATTGGGCATACAAATCTTGTCTTCATGCTTCTTTTTTGATTATGCGATTTCTTTTGGCTTGAATTCTTTGTTTATGTATATCTCTACGTATGACTGACTCACTAGTCATTATGAACAGGTTTGGTGTAGCTAAGTTCCGCCGTACTAGCACTTAATTAAATAAACAATAGTAAAATCAAATTTCTTATTATACCTTAACTATCTTCGGAAACATATGATCGAATTTTATAATATCGAATAAAAGCAATTCCACATCACAGCTTATACTACTAGGTCATTGAAAACTAAATGATCTACTATTATAGTATTAATCAATTTCTATTAACTACTATAAATTAAGAGTAGTTCGAGAGCGTAGTAATCCTAGGTTTGTTATTGATATAAAAAAATATATATATTTTTGAATGGAGATTATTTGGGAGATTGATTACTCTCAGTGGCGAATTAGAAAAGTTTTTGAGGGAATTGTACGGACAACGAGAGAGCCGTGCCGTCGCGTAAAAAGCAAAAATAGACGAGCGATTTGCGCAGAGGACCCACGTGTTAGTGACGAGTCTCATGCGCGACATGTATTCCACGTGGCTCAAGATGGGTCCCACTTCACGTGTCGTAACGTCTATGGCTGACGTACTTATAATATCGAAGTCGGTTCGTCGTTTTCTCTAACACCAATCGCTCGTAGACGACTTCAAAAATCTATCTAGCCGAGAGATAGAGAGTACGGATTCTCTGATTGTGGGCCGTTGGATCAGGGAAAACTCAGAGCTCGTATACGTCGTTGGATTGGATTGATGACAGTAGGAATCAATGGTGATGATGGAGAGGGGTCCAGATTAGGTAGGTGGTGGTCATTGTAGGGAAAACACTTGAGAGGAGAGTAGGTCCATTAGGACATGTGCTTAAGTTATAAAATCTCATACAAATCACACACGGTAGAGTTTGGTTGGGCGGTTGGGAGAGTTTGGGATTGTCTGTGGGTTGGTGTATGACTCCACCATGTTCCCCTAATCATTTTTTCGTTTTAATATTTCATGATTTCTTACTTGTATTTTTCTGAATTTTTTCATCAATCGACTCGATTGTTTGTCAAATTAGAGGATTTTTGTGTACATTTCTATTCAATTGTGGGTATTCTTATAATTACACTCCTATATCTATGATGGTTACACTTGCACAAGCCACAAGTTTTGGTGGTGGAAAACTACGCGTAATAGGCTAGGTCATAACTCAGAAGTCAGAAGAGGGGAGTCTAGTGGTGTTTTAAGGGATTAAGATTAAAAATTGTTCGTGATTCTCTTTTCGGCTTGAACGTTTTAATAGTTTTTTTTTTTTTTTGGTAGCAGGACTCTTTTCTGTCCAGTTACACTTGGCCATTTTTGACATTTTTTTCTTTGGCTATTTTGTAGAATCTTCTAGAACTCTTAGAATCCTTTTAAATATGGTAGAATGTTTTAGAGATTATAGATAAGTGTAGAAGGATTCAAATGATCTCACATGCACAATTAGCACTTTTTAGATTCTCCCATATCATAACTAACTTTGCCTAAAACACATTCACATACATAGATCCTAATGTTGATGGAACCATCATGGTGATGCGACTTGGTTTCATATTATGATGTAATACGTTCTTGACACGTGAATTATGTCTAAAACCATTGGTCAAAGTGTTTTGTATGTGGAAATGCGTATAGAATTTGGGGAAAACTGTTGAAAAATGGTTCTATCAATAAAACCTATTTTGATTCTCACATCGAATGCCATAGGTATCAATTAATGTTGATATCTAAATCTGAACTTCCAAATTAAGAGCCGATCTGAGACCAAACATATGGCCGAAGTGATCACCCGCTAAGATAGCAAAGATTTTCGTAGGAATCTCTTATGTAAATGTCGAAGTTGAAGATAAGTCACCATCACTTGACAAGGAACTCAAAGAAATCGAAGAATCAGACAATGACAATGCATAAATTGAAACTTGAAACAGTTGATGTCGGTGGGATTAAGGTCACATAAGGGTATAAAACACGGCGATAGAAAACATCAATTAGAATAAATTAATAATAGGTTTTTTTTTTTTTAAGTATTTAAATTGTTCAATGGTGCAGTATCAAAAAAAAAAAAAAAAAAAAAAAAAAAAAAAAAAAAAAAAAAAAAAAAAAAATGGTGCAGTATCAAGTTACCATTAGTAGAAATGACTGCTAAATGAAATGGTAATGCGATCATAGAAAAGATAACTTATAGACAAATTTATAGATTTAACATTTGCAAAGAAAATCAATTAACATGCAAAATTCTCCAATGTAGATTATTAAATTATGGGTAACATTCCAATTGATTAGCTCAAACTATATTTAGGTATATATAGTAGGTTGCTGAGCTGGGATTACAATTGAAACAGCTGGATTTTTATGGAAAGGCATGCATGGGTCGATGGAAAGGGTGACCGCTCGTCCTAATCGTTTTTCGTATGTAAAAGAGTCTAACTCTAAGCACTCAAGCACTTTTTATATCTTTGCAAAAAAATCTGAAAAAAATAAAAAATTAAGAGCTCGTGTCTGTTTTTTTGCAAAAAATATTTTCGAAATTGAAAGGCCAACTCATCTTTGGATTAACGAAAACCCCAATCAGGTTTCACAAAAAAGTGTAAATTGATGATAACCCCAAGGTCCCCCAACCAAAAAAATTAAAATTAAATTTCGTAAAAGCGATTCATAACTACAACCAACATATCAAGACGATATCTTTTGTGTGTGTTTTTAGATTGAAACTATTACGAATAGATTTATTCATGCATGTTCTTGCAAACACATCGACGGAACACTAGAACATGATACATATTGTCTTTACACCATCTGGTCCATCTCAACTATAAACTCATTCATAGTTTAAAATTAATCTAAATCTTTTGGGAATCTTATAAATTATTTCGGTGTAACGTCAATAAAATAACTTAAGATCGATATAATATTTAGGCGAAGAAAAAACCGAATCACTTATTTCAGCCCAAATAAAAATAGGTAAAAATCACTAACATAAAAAAAAATATATATATAAAACCGTTTCCCGGACCCAAATAAAGGCCTGTATAACGTCCCAGACCCGAACGTAAGTCGGATCCGGATCTCCGCGATTTATTTTTTACATTTTTGTCTTTTTCCCTGAAAATTTGAAACTCTTTTCTTCTTCTTCTTCTCCTCCTTGGTTGTTCAAAACGCGCTAAATTACCAGAAATCTCAGATCCATAAAATTTTCAAGGAGAGCGAAAAACCTCACAATGGCGGCATATAGAGCCGATGACGACTACGATTACCTCTTCAAGGTTGTGTTAATTGGAGATTCCGGTGTCGGAAAATCTAACCTCCTTTCTCGATTCACGCGAAACGAGTTCAGTCTCGAATCTAAATCCACGATCGGTGTCGAATTCGCCACTCGTAGCATCCATGTCGATGATAAGATCGTCAAAGCCCAGATTTGGGATACCGCCGGCCAAGAGAGGTATGTATGCAATTCTCAAATTCATAATAAGATCGATTTGAATTTAAGAATTCTGAAATTTTGATGAATCTGAAGAAATCCATTTAGATAATGGTACGTAATCGTGATTGATGAACAAGTTTTGTTGATTTTGATTTGGTTTTGAAGATATCGAGCAATCACAAGTGCATACTACAGAGGAGCTGTAGGAGCATTGCTTGTGTACGATGTCACAAGACATGTGACATTTGAGAACGTTGAAAGATGGTTAAAGGAGCTTCGAGATCATACAGATTCTAACATTGTCATCATGTTTGTTGGGAACAAAGCCGATCTCCGTCACCTACGAGCTGTTTCCACTGAAGACGCTAAGGCTTTTGCGGAGAGAGAGAACACTTTCTTCATGGAGACATCCGCTCTCGAATCCATGAACGTCGAGAATGCTTTCACTGAAGTGCTTTCTCAGATTTACCGTGTGGTTAGCCGGAAAGCGTTGGATATAGGAGATGACCCGGCTGCTCTTCCCAAAGGACAGACCATCAACGTTGGGTCTAAAGACGATGTCTCTGCCGTTAAAAAGGTTGGTTGCTGCTCAAATTGATGGTTCTTTCGACTTTCAAGAATCGGTCTGTTCATTTCTTTTTGTTGTTATATGTGAAGATCTTGTTCGTTTAGTTGTATAATCACACACCTTATACCATATTGAATACCACTGCGTTTCCATTTCAAATGTATATGCCAAACAACATTTGAGTTGAACCTCAATATACTGCGTTTCTAAGCGAGCCGTCGACTGTTTTCTATCGTCTATCAAAGTGTTTATTAGTGTGACCTTGAGACCAAACACAGAGCATGTGAAGCACCAATGGAAACTGAGATAACCTTGTGTGGTTGACGCTCATCTTCTTCGGTTAAGAAATTGACTTCGACCGGAGTAGTTTGGATCTCCGGGAGACCTGGAACTCCTAGCTGGAAATCTTTAGCGTTTCCCCACATCCAGAGTTCACCACCATCTGTTCGAAAATCAATCCCATGTTTTTAGTTTTTTGAGTTAATTTTCACGTCAAATGAAAATATATCTATAGCTTCTATATATACCTGTTATCGCTGCAGACGAGGAACCTCCACAAGCGATGAAGATGATCTTTTTATCTGCTAATGCTTCGATTTCTGTAGGAATTTTCTGGTTTCGCAGCGAGGAATTACCCAACTGGCCATGGCCACCGTGGCCCCATGAGAGTACTTTACCGTCCTCTGTTTTCACATCAAGCAATTTCAAGTCATATTAGTAGAAATCGACTAGAGAAATTGTTCGGTTGGGAGAAGATTGTTTACCGGTTAAGGCAAGAGAATGATATCCACCGCAAGCTATCTGGGTAATACGAACACCTTCTAAACTGGGAACCGGCAATGGTTCCCAACCTCCCAAGTTATCACCGCGCCCGAGCTCATAATTGGAATTTGCTGATACATAAAGATCCAATGAATTCCTTTTAACACTAACAATGGTAGAAACGAAGGCTTAAATTGGTATTTACCTCCCCAGTTCCAGAGTTGTCCCTCTTTTGTAAGAGCCATTGTGAAAAAACCACCACATGAGACAGAGGCTACGGGAACTGTTAAAGCTTTGACCTTTGAAGGAACACTAAGCCCACCACCTTCGTTTGGTCCTCGACCTGGCCCCAGTCCTAATCTACCATCCCCTTCTTCTCTTCCCCACATATACAGCTCTCCTACAACCAAGAACAAGTCTTGCTCGATTGAGTTATACAGAGCAATAACTAGTATATCAAACAGTTGAAACAAAGAAGAAGAAGAACCGGTCTAGATCTTGAGGAAAAGAGGGTAACTATAGTCATAGTGGGGATCTATTACTCTTATAGTTACAGCTACTTCGTCTACCTAACAGTTTTGGCTTGTTCGAAAACTTCAATCAAGTTCTTTTGAAGTTGTATATACATATAATATAAACATGTCTATAACTAGAGAAATGTAACAAGAAGAGAAAGCATGTGGAAACCTGATTCGGTAATAGCAGCGGTATGAGTTCCACTGGTAGCAATGGCAGAGATTTTGCAATCCCAAGAGCCGTCAACACGTCGAGGAACGAGTTCTCTAGTGTAAACCTTATGTCCAAGGGCTCCAAAACCACCATAACCCCTAACAACTTCATTTTTAATAATATGGAACCATCACATTATGCAGAAGCAAAAGATCAAACACAAAACCAAATCTAGCTAATAATATCCATTAACATTGCATCAACTAGCTCAAACAGTATGATTCCAAACTCAAATTGAGATTTTTGAAGCTAGAAGCTCACCAAGTGAATACATCTCCTTGATGTGTTAAAGCTACTGAATGCAAACCACCAAGAGCGATACATCGAATCGAATGTTCCTCGAAAAGCGGGTTTAAATTGGGGACGAACACCGAATTCTCTTGGCCAAACCCTAGCCTTCCTCCGTCACCTTTGCCCCAAATCCATAGATCTCCGTCGATGGTTAGACCTGAATGGAACAAGCCGCAAGAGATTCCAAGCCGAAAACTCGATGAATCGGCGTCGATTCTTCCAGGAGTTTGGGCGAGAGAGAAGGATTGATCAGAGCGAAGGAGAAGATTAGCGACCGGAGACGGATACATTCGAATCTCCTCGATTCCGCCGCCGAGTTGACCTGATGCGCCTCGTCCCCACGAGAAGAGCTGGAGAGTGATGGGATCCGAGTCGATATCTGGGTTTGTGTAGAGTGTAGGCACCTTGGTGGTGGCTCCTCCGCCGCTTCTTTGAGTTGTCCGGGTGGAGGAGAAGCGGCGCGTGAAGATACGTAAGCGGTGGCTTAACGCTGCCATTGTTGTTTCGTCGGAGTTTCATCACTCACTAGTCACTACCGGTGGGTTTTAAGCTGCGAGGCTTATTGAAACGATCGCGTTTTGCAAGTTAGATGGAATAATAACTCGTTAGGTCCCTATATTATTATTTTGTTTTCAATAAGACCCTATACTATATTATTATTGTTTTAGTTTTAGACCCTCTATTATTTGTAATGGTGAAATTATGTCTAATTGTAAATATAATTAAAATAAACAATTTTTTATAGTCACTATTTTTCTACTTGAAAGATTTTGAAATTTACAAAAGTTTTCAAGTTTCCTATCTCCAATGTTTTCTGGAAAAAACAATAGTGTATGTTGAAGCTGTGATTCTTACTTGTAGTCACATATCTTTGGCACTAACTTACAGCAAGTTTTCTTCTTTAGACATACATTCAAATTTGAGAACAGATATACATAGATATGTGAAACCATCAAGACATGAGGATACTGATGATTTCAAATCAGTTCGTGTCTTATCAAGATTGTAGATTATCTGTCCTTTAAGAGTGTTTCTTTACTCAGAAGTCAGAAACAGAGTAAAACAAAAGAATTGGATAAACTTGTAGAATGCTATCTTTTTCAGAATCTACAGCATTGGAACCCTAAAGCAACCGGCTTTTGTTTCTTGGGAGACAAGTCATCTGATTCAGGCATCTTAACAGGGCTCCCCATCCACTCTACTCCTAATCTGCAACAATTTTCAGTCCGAAATTGTACAAATTATTAATTCTGCAGAAACCTTAATTTCCAAATAAAAAATTGTTAACTCTTTTGTTGTTATTGAAACTCACATGGGAAATGCAAAAGATCCCCTTCCTTCATCTGAGTGACTAGACCCGCTAGATTTATCAGAGGCATCAATGTCTTCTTCTTCTTCTTCGATTTTCTGCAACATTCCAAGACTAATAAATACTTAAAAATGGTAAATTCTCAAGTACTTTGAAGTTGAAAGATCTTATGAAAAATTACTTGTGTAACATCACAAGAGACATCTTTAGTTTCTTGACATGAAGTGTTATTGTTCTGATCTTGTTCTGTTCCTTTATTCTCCGTCGACTTATTCTTCTCTGTTCCTCCTACTCCTAGGTCTCCATATATAAGCTGTTCTTAAAAATAAAACCCTTAAATAAATTCAAAACTTTAGACTAATACTAATATATAAGTGGTAATGTTATTAACTTCTTTAAAAAAATTTGATTTTTGGACAACGAACCTTTCGATTCACCGTCCTCGGTGACTTTTCTGACGACAATTCGGTCTCTTTCCTCTCTTGTTTACCCTCTTTAACCACATCGAAACCACCATCTTCACGATCGAAGCAGAAGACAATGAATCCAGATTCTTCTGAGACAGGTGGCTGAGGCCAGCTCAAGCGCCGGTGCTGAGACGCCGACGTCGTCGGAGAAACGCTACTGCTTCTTAGATGAAGATGATGATGACGTGTCCCTGGTGGGCTTAGACTGAGTTTCCTCTCTGATCTCTTCTTCTTAGTACTCTTTATCTTCCTCTTAATCCTCTTGAACGTTAGATTATTGTTGTTCGTAGTGTTTCCATTGTTATTAACTCCATCTTCATCTACGTCTGATACATATAAACGGTAAAATAATTTGAAACAATGATTGAAAAAGTAATGTAATTAGGAAGAAGAGAATAGAAGAATGACCTAGAGGAATCTTGCAAGCCAAGAAACAGGAAGCCCAATCTTTGACTCTCCAAGTGACAAGTTTTGGTATTGTCCACTGTGAAGCCATGGCTGTTATGTTTCTTTGTCACGAGAAATAGTCTTTTTGTGTGAGTGTGTGTTTTGGCTTTTTCAAGAAATGTTTTGAGAAGGGAGAGAAAGAATTTATTATGAGGAAGAAGAATGATTTGAAATTTGAAAAAAAAAAATGGGAGACAAGAATTTAGATTGCCATGAATTGGGGAAGGGGGTTACAATGTGTAACACATGAATGCATTAAATATTATTGGAATAAAAGGAAATAACATTTTTATTCTGGAATTGTAATAATTGGGCAGTAAATGCTATCATAGTAAATAAACACTGCTATATGAAATTCAATTTTCCTTTTTCATTTTCCATTTGTGAATTTTTCAATTCAATTTTCATGTGTCAAGAAGACGGCATAACCAATCGAACGGGGGCTACTGGCTAGATAGACATGGATGCCATTTATGGTGGCAAATGAATTTTTGAAATATTTATTGAATTTTCTTTTAAATGAAAATTATAACCTAGGAATATTCATGGGCCCATATATTGAAGCCCATTATCTGATATAAAGAGTACCAAGTCCACCACTAGATGTACAAGTACAACCAGTCTGGTTTCAATGCGGTCACCAAGTAAGTTGCGACCAATTGAGTCCTAAACTGTGGATGCAGGGACATGCGAAAAAATGGTGATCTCTGCCTCCCCACATAGCACACAACACTGAGATATGTCCATTTGATTTGTTAGAGATTTATGATCAATGATATGTTTATTCATTGTTCTCATGTTTGATATATTCAATATATTTGGTTTAAGACTTTATCAGAAACCGTTATTGTTTTTGAATTCAACTCTGTTTAACATGAACTTCTCATTCGTTAGAAATTAGAATATCCATTTTTAGCAAAAGAAATGACGTCACCTTCTTCGTTGCGTTTGTTTACTAAATTGAGCACATACTCTTTTTTTTTTTTCTATTTTTTTTTTTGGGAAAAAGACCACATGCTCAATAACATGAAATGCATGGGCTTGCAAGTTCGAGGGGTCCACTATAAAGCACATGATTCACGACCAAACATGATTTGTTGTAAAGTGTGGCTTTGCATAGTCGAGTACTATACACCAAACACTAAATAAAAAAAATGTGTTACAAATCTTTCGCTTCATTTGTTTACAATTACTTCATGCTAGCTGCCAAATACCATGCAACTACCTCCACTCCGTGTTTTGTTTTTGGGGAATATATTAACATTTTTTGGAGCATCGCATATATATATTCTATAATTGAGATCTGAGAGAAATAAGGTGAGACATGTGTTCTCATTTATGGAATTTCTTAGAGACCCCTCTTTCATAAAACTACAGTTCCTTTTTAGAAAGGAAATCTTAATGAGATCTAATTTTATAAGATTGATCTGCTGGATGACATACGAAAACGACTCATTTTTCGAATCTCCTTATGTAAAGACTCTCCGGTAGACTATAGTAGTTTCGTGGTTTGGCCTGATGAAAGACTCACATGTAGCTTTAGGATGATCTAATTTCATCAACTACGGATTTTCATTGTTTGGTCCATCTTAAATTACAGTAGATATCTGATTTTCTGAGCTCTGTTTGGATTTGGATTCATATTCTTTTAAAATGACCCAAAAACTTTATAATTCAAAATATAAAGTGATTGTGAAGATCATGGCCGGTGGAAATAAAACAAAAAAACGAGCAGAAAATTCATCAATGCAAACTGAATAATTTTACGATAACCTGGACAGTACATAAATTTTTATATCAAATAAACCTAACCAAACTCGAATAAACTTCAATTTATATAAAATTAGTTATAGTTATATATAAATAGAGTAATTTTGCTAAAAATATATTTATTTAATATTTACTAAATCAAGTAATTATTCTTATTTTTTAAATCTCTTTCAGATAAACCCAAATCAAACCTGGACCGAATTCTAATAAGTCGACCAAATAAGAAGATGCTTATAATTCAAATGCTCTTTTCAAATTCCAAAAAGATCTATAATCCCAAATTTGAACTAAAGCAAAAAAATATCCAAATGCCAAAACCTGGTGTGAATTAATGTCCATGCGTATTATAGTTCCAAAAAAGAACAAGACATATATAATTGTAAGAAAAGAAAAAGAATAGTATTTAATTATGTTTATAATAATAAAATATGTTAATAATATTACGTATCTATATAAAATATCTCATCTTTTTATTAAAATGAAAAGAAGAAACAAAAAAAAGAAGGGTCAGTATGCTCATATGTGCGGTTGTGGACCTCGTGGTGGAGTGTGAAGAGAGGAGACCATGTGGCCAAGTGGGGGTCATACGACGACAATATATAGGCGTGTTTTATACTACCCAAAAAGAAAGAAAAAAAAAGATTGATCTAAACCCGAATTATTGGAGAATTTTAAGTTTCTAAGTGGGAAATATTTTGTTGCACCAAAAAAATAAGGGAGGATATTTTGAGTAATTTCTCTGGAAAAAAAATATAATGTATGGTGTAACGATGTTTCTATATTTTTGAGTAATTTTTTCGAAGGAAAAGGTATATATATATATATATTTATATAAAATATAATGTGTAGTATAAAGATGTCTCTATATAATGTGTGGTGTAACGATGTCTCTAAATTTTTGAGTAATTTCTCCGAAGAAAAAGTTATATATATATATATATATATAGATTCAAATATTGATAAATAAAATGTGTGGAGTAATTGTCTATATATACAGAATATTGTGATAGCATTTTGGTTTCTTAGAAAAAAAACTAAAATTAAAATATAAGCTCTAATTGATATGCATATATTTAGTTGTGTCTCTTCTGATAACCGATAATGGAGACCACCCCTTCATACTAATGCAAGAGACTACAGAGTATGACACAATAATGCATCCAATGATTCAACAATATATTATCATGTAAGCTCTAATTGATTATTCTTAAAATAGAAAACCCACCAAAGTGAGTGAGAATTACTTCAAGAATACCACAAGTGCATGGTAGATCATTGTGTGCTTTTATACTTTATAGCCGCAAAGTACTAGATCCAAATTCAGATTAATATTTGAAGTCTACAGAATTTCATTCTCTAGCTAAGATCCATATGTCGCTGACTACAAAACTAATATTACTTGATTTCTCTTCTTTGGTTTTATAAACACTAGGACTCAGGACCCCCGCGACATCGCGGGGGAATATATTTCAAAAATCATTTAAAAAAATATCAAACGAAAAAATCATAATGAATTGTAATAATTTTGAATTTTTTTAATAACAAATCAATATATATTTTACAAAAATTATGATAAAGAAAACCCTCACAAGCATTTATTAAGTATATTAATATTAGAAAAACAATAATTTGTAACTAAAAAACTATTCCCAAGTGCAAAAAGCATAAACTAATAAACGAAATATTACAATGGTTTGATAAATAAGCCAAAACGTTCAACATCAAATAAACCAAATACTATTATGTTAAATTAAACGGTAACAATAATTCATTTAAATATATTTTAGTATTTAAATATTTTTTAAAATATGACGAACTTATCCGAGAAACGCAACCGTAGATATCAAATATTCCAAAAACTGCAACGGTTCGTCAATTATACCAAATGTTGCAATAGTTCATCAAATATACTAAAGATAACAATGGTTCGTAACACAAAACCAAAAGTTGCAATAATTCGTCAAATAATCCAAATGTTGAAATAGTTCAATTAAATAGTTACAATCTCATTTAAATACATTTTAGTAATTAAAAATTAAGAATTAAAATAATAATTTATGGAAAGTTACACCGAGAGACGCGGCGGTAGATAATTAAGTGTTATAGCTATTTATAAAATAAACCAAAAATTGCAATTGTTCGTGAAATAAACTAAATATATAAACCAAAGGTTGCAATTGTTCGTAAAATAAACTAAATATTGCAATGATTCGAATAAGCGGTTTCAACTGTTTATGAAGAGTTACAATAAAAAACGCAACCGTAGAAAACATTCAGAATGCAATTTATAAAAAAAAACATAACCGTAAAATATATATTTTAATTAATAAAAACAGAAACGAAAAGTTGCGATAAAAAGACGCAACCGTTCAGATGTGCAAATGGTATTTATTAGATTGCTATTATATATAGACCGTAAAATATATATTTTAATTAATAAAAACATTAACGAAAAGTTGCGATAAAAAGACGCAACCGTTCAGATGTGCAAATGGTATTTATTAGATTGCTATTATATATAGATTATTTTTCAGTATGTTTTCTAGTAGAGTTTTCATGACATTTTTAATAAATGATATTTTAATTACATAATTAAGAAAACTGGAAATTAAAACATAAATAGCCAATAAAACATTTTTCTTCGTCTTATCCTTCATATATGTTTTTCACTCCTTTTTTTCGTCTTCGGTATCCATGACATAAATCATCTCCTTGAGGTAACATATCACGTCGCTACTTGCTAGCGAAAAGCCAATTTTATTCTTTCACCTCTGTTTTTTTAACAGCCTTTTTTGTTAAAGACCTCTGTTTTTTCGTACAGCCTTAATAATAGTTTGGAAATCAAACCAAATTTCTCGACGATCATTCTCAAGAAAATATAGAACCATTTGGGATTCGTCGTGTTTATTAAACGAAGGATTTAACATGATGCTATCATTTGTTTACCGTTTAAACATTGATTGATGGCGGCCACAATAATGATAATAGTTTCCATGAGAATAATACGATTTAAATTATCTATATGAAGATCCATGTTATCAAATAAACTTTTATTTCCGTCATAAATAATAAGCTTAATTTTTTTTTTTGGCGTGAAAAATATGCTTAGAAGTTTACAGTATAATTTAACGTGTTATAAACCTCATTCATTCATTATTATTATTATTATTTTTCGCCAAACCTCATTCATTAAAATCAATAATATCACATGCGAACAGGTTTTGGCTTTTTGCTAGTAATTTTTGATCATTTGTTAATAAGTAGTACTATATTATCAAGTTGTGATTTTTTTTGTGTTGGTTTTATCAATTTCCTAAGAACTCTAAATATGCAGTATATCTTGTCAGAGCTTATCTTCGACAACAATTTTACGTTTCCAACTGCTCAATTTTACAGTCTTGTGCTTTGCAATGGGTTGATTTATCTTGTTGCATCGGGAATCAGAAACAATCCAACACGTAGTACCACATGAATCTTCACTTCAGGTCCTCGTAGTTTACATTCGTGCAATAACTTTGTTTCATTAAAAAACTCAAATCCAAAATTGATTTAAAAAAAAAAAACTCAAATCCAAAATATTTAATATGTTCGTATAGTTGAAGACATATACATTAATTCTGTCACACACAAGGTTTTTTAGACCCTTTTCAACTTATTTCTTTCACGATTCTACACATATAGTCTGATATAATTAATGAAGGATGAATACTTTTGTTGACCGAAAAAAGGATGTAAACTTATATTTAAAGGTGAGCAAAAACTTATGTGTTTCATATCGTCCTGTTTTTAATTTCAAAATCTCATCCCATATAAAAATAACATCCCTACAAGATTTTTGTATCACAAAAATAGCTATTTTTTATAACAAAATAATAGATTTTTTTATTAACGAAGAAAATAAGAATAGATTTTTGTATCATGATATAATTATGTAATTATTTGTGATACAAATCTTGTCTTTTTACTAGTGAAATTTAGAATTGAAAAGAATATTTAAATACAAATAAAAATATTTTCATGTTATTTTAATGAGTGTGTGTATCTTTGTATGTTTATATATTTCGTTCTTATTCAAAAAAAAAAATAGGACAAGCATTTGGATCCTACAATATCAATTTTTTTTTTCTCACGGACCGGTCCATTAGTAGTGGCAGTACAATTAATTTCATCATAGTAGAGGAGACTCGATCCCGAAAGAAGTGATACAGGTTTTTGGTAGACTTATAAATGTCATTAGGCCGCGTCTTGTTTGTTCTATATCATATTAAATCAAGAATCAATTAATATTAAATCGCATCTCATTTTGTTTCTCTTCCTTGTTTAATAGTTTTTTTTTTTTGTTGTTAAGTTGTCTATCAATGATTATACAAGCTGCGCATTAAACACTAAAGATGAAAAAGGTTGTGTTATAAAATCAAATCCTCCACACATATGCTATAAAATATCTGATAAATTTTAACATATAATGTCATAGTCATAGACTCATAGTTCAACCTTCACTAATCACTAGTATTAGAACCAATACATTTTGAAAGAATAAAATAGCAATAACTTAATGATATTAGCCTTAGTTATTGATTGAATGAAGGGACCCTTGAATGAATCAATTATTATTGTAGCTGATCTCTTTTCTTGACGACCATATCTCCTAGAATCAATACAAACTCTTACCCAAAATCACAATGTTCCTTGATCTCACAAGAAACAAACTAAAACGGACAAGAGCATCAGAACAGTGTCATCACTCATCAGTAAGCATTTCCGTGTGACCGCGAATTCTGACAGATGCTCGACTGGTCCAATGATAACATTACACGTAGCATTGCACTATAATGACTTAGTGGCCTGTGTATAAAAGATTTAAAGAACGTGTAATCTCAACCATTTCCTCCATCAAAGATCATTTCTTTTGACTGCAAATAATTATTAATCATTTTCTGTACTTCTGTCTCTTTCTCTCTCCCTCCCTCTCTATCCCTTTCTCGTAATTTTGCTATATAAGAGCACATCTGTAATCTGTGTGAGACAGAACTAAAAAAAAGCATCGATAGTTTTCGTTTCTAAACTCGATATATAATGATAACACGTTCACGTGTTCATCGTCAAAAGAGTGTCTCAGTGAGTACAGTCTTCAAGTGTCTTCTGGTTTTGATCAGACGCTCTATTCAATTCTCTTAAGTCGTATCATTTTTTTTTCCTCATTTCTTGTTAGTTTTATATTAAAACAAAGGATTAAAGAGTCTTTATTTTGGAAACATGGAGCTTTAATGATCCTTTGTTAGCTCTAGCTAGGATTTTACGTACTAATTAGGTATTTAAACTAAAACAAATTAAAATCAAGAAGAAGAGCATAGAGAGATGGTGAGGACACCATGTTGCAAAGAAGAAGGAATAAAGAAAGGAGCTTGGACTCCTGAGGAAGACCAAAAGCTTATTGCTTATCTTCAACTACATGGTGAAGGTGGATGGCGTACTCTCCCTGAAAAAGCTGGTACTTTTTTTATTTTATCATATGGTTTAATTATTAGCTACTTTTATAAAGAAAGCTATATATATATATATATATTATTATTTATCATTATAATGTGTGTAAATGTATATAGGATTGAAGAGATGTGGAAAGAGTTGCAGATTGAGATGGGCTAATTACTTAAGACCCGACATTAAGAGAGGAGAGTTTAGTCCTGAAGAAGATGACACTATCATCAAGCTTCATGCTCTTAAGGGTAACAAGTAAGCATCTCTCTTCTTTTTTGTATCCTTAATTCAATTTTAGATTAGATAATCATTACTATGTGTAATGTTGCATGAAAAAACTTTACTTTTCATCTCAAAATCCCAAACATAGAATATACTATACTTTTCTTATTTAATTGTGTATGGTTGCGTTTGATTATTGAAGGTGGGCCGCGATCGCCACTAGTTTGGCGGGACGAACTGACAACGAAATAAAAAACTATTGGAACACAAATCTCAAGAAGCGTCTAAAACAAAAAGGCCTCGATCCAATTACTCACAAACCGATCAATTCAACCGGTATAACCGGTTTGGAATCAAAAACCAACAAACCGGTTTATTCATCCGGTTCCGCGAGGCTTCTTAACCGCGTCGCAAGCAAATACGCCGTGGAATTAAACCGGGATCTACTAACCGGTATAATCAGCGGAAACTCCATCGTCGCCGAAGATTCACAAAACTCCGGCGATGTTGATTCTCCGACCTCCACATTGCTCAACAAAATGGCTGCAACATCAGTTTTGATCAACACTACGTCACCATTTTCCGGCTTCTCCGACAACTGTTCTTTCACCGATGGTTTCAACGAATTCTTTAGCAATGAAGAGATCTCCGATATGTATACGACAGTCGATAATTTTGGGATTATGGAAGAGTTAAAGGGTATTTTAAGCTACGGCGGTGCCGGCGCCGGAGGTATTGAAGATTCGCCAGAGGTCAATGTAGCTGATGCAATGGAGTTCATTGATTCTTGGAACGAAGATGACAAAATGGTTGGAGTCTTTGTCTGACGAGTCAGACTAAAACCAATCTTACGTTGGTTTCTTCTTTAATAACCTGTGATAGATTTGGTGTATCATCACGTCGTCGAAATAATGTCTGTTGTAATAAATTAATAATAAATAAACATTTATTTATTGCATCAGCTATGTCTGTTGAAATAATGTCACGTCGTTGAAGATTCGCCAGAGGTCAATTACACCGATTTTGTTTACAAATCCGGTAAAAAAAACATGAAAAAATATTTCTTACATAAACATAAACATTTAATTTTTTTAATTATATATGAGATGCTACTAATGGAATTGATAAGCCTGTTACACATTTAATCTCATTATAAGTCATAAACTATATATACATATATTATATATATATATATATAGAGTCATAAAACTAAATGAAAATTTTATAATTTATCTGACACATTTAATCGTATCTGATAGCGGATGATGCAGATTAATCCGCTCGTGATCAAAATTTATTTTCCATTAACAAAATTGTGTATGCAGAAGAGCGGTTAACAGAAAAAGAAAATCGAATTTTGTTCGATGCACAAAAATAAACTATTTCATCTTGTTATTTGGACGGACTCCTACCATTTAAAACTAATAATGTTTTGCGAATTTTATTGGTGATATATTGGAAAGAGAGAAAGCAATAACAAAACAATTTAAATAAGTGATACATAAATGGTACTCCTCTGTTCCTAGAAGAGTGATGTTTTGAGTTTTACACTCTAATTAAGAAAAAGTCACTTTTATAATTGTTTATTATTTTATTATTAGTTTAATAATATTAATCTCACTTCTCTCCTTTCTCTATTGGTCACAAATAAAAATAGTAATGATGCTATTACAAAACATCAATCTTTGTGGAACAAGAAAAAATCTCAAAACATCAAATATCTAGGAACAGAGGGAGTACTACTTTTGTTACCACTTTTTTTTTTTTTTTTTTTTTTTTTTTTTTTTTTTTTTTTTTATTGGTCCAAATCTTTTGGTACCACTTGAAAATTTCAACCATGCAATTTTGATCTCCAAAACAGATTCGAATTGAGATAAACTGGTAATTTACGACCAACCTAACAACACTTGTTGACCTACATGTACATAATCTCCAAATTGAGATATCCGTAACTTAGGCACACTTTGTTAACTTTTAAAATCATTGGTACTATATATAAATTCAAAATGCAAATTTATTTTAAAAAGTGTTATGTCAAATTTAGATCAATAACATCCTCTCCCAAGAAATTAGTCCTGGATCCCTCCATACGTCTAGGAATTTACTCTGAGTTATTAAAAAAAGAAATTTAGATCAATAATTAAAGTGTTAAAAAAACAAAGTATATTCGTCTGCTAGCCTGCAATATTCCCTAAAAAGTGAAACTCCCATTCCGTATTATAATAATAGTCCTTCTACGATTATTTTCAGATTCTGGTGGATTCACGTGAATACGTAAATCTTTATAAAATTTTCACATATATTTGACTATGGCACTAACTTTCACTCATACTAGTATATGCATCACACCATTCAAGAGTTGTCAGCAGCAACACTATTTGATTAGTTTCGATTCTAATCTAAGACCATATTTAGCGGAATAACTTATTTGGGTGTTTTTAGGGTTAATTAAGTATTAAAATAATGTAGATAGAAGAACAGTTCTTGGGTGGACAGAAGAACATGTCTAAACAGTTCTTGGACAAGAACAGTTCTTGGGTGTTCTAAGACCATTTTCTTTTATTTTATTATTTTTTTAATGGTAAGAACATGAGATAAGTTATCCCCTTGCATATGCCCTAAGCTATTTAATGCGTAGTTTATATATATAATTATTAATATTCAATCATGTGTATTCATTGAAGTTTACCTAATCAATTATTTTGCAGCCACTATCCAACTTGATTTCTTTATTTAAAATACGATTAATTAATATTTTATGTAACTAGAGTTATAATAATTTTGATATGTAAACCTTCGCCCCAATAAAACTAATATTACTAAGTTTATTTGAAACGGAATTATTCCTTTTAATATAAAAAACAATCTTCATCCATGAAATAAAATTAACTTTTTTGCAAACAACGTAAGTAACTTAGTACCCAAAATGATATGACTTTTAATAAATCATGATAAAATTAATTTTGTTATAATCTTCGACTCTCGTTATTATTAATATAAAAATGATATGACTTTCAATAAATCATGATAAAAACATGAAATCTTGTCAAAAAAAAAAAAATATCTCAAATAATGTGAGTTAGAGGTCAACGATGGATGGCTACTTTTCTGCTCCCACACTCCCTCCATAAGAAGGTACGCGCAAACAAAATTACTCATTTTTATTCATTGTTAGATTTAATATTGATAACTCATGAATTCAACGTGTTCGATATTGAAACTACAATCTATAAATTATTGCCTTCTGAACATTGACTAACGTTGAACTTGATGGATTTTGCATATTAACAAAGAGCAATACCCACGAGTGCTGAAACTAATATGATTTTTTTTCTTCTTTTGTTAAAGTGAAACTAATATGATTAAATATATGTTCTTCAATGAAATTGGTTAATTGTTAAACCAATAGAAACTGGCAAAAGTGTATATGACTTATTAAGAACGTGCTGGTACAAGTTGTCTACCGTGTGAAATGAAATAATTGTAGACAAAATATATACTATCTTAAAACATCCACTTTATAGCCTTAAAGTAACCAGTTAGACCAAGGGCAGTGGGGCATTTGTTTGGGGGGGGTGTAAGTATTAAAAAAAAACTGATTTAATGTAAAAGTTGTCTAAAAAGAGAAAAGAGAGAGAGAAAGAAGAGAGAGATAGAGAGAGTGAGTGTTACACCCGAGTGTAAACTTACACCCGGGTGTAAAGAGAGAGACAATTTTTTGCTTTTTTTATTACCACTTACACCCGTGAAGATGCTCCACTGCCCATGCCCTTACAATGAGCATTGTTTATTTGCTTAAAAATACTGTATTTATTGATTTTCTGGAAAAAGAATGTATGAATTTTGGAGAACTTTAACGAACTTCCAAGAAAATAAATCTGAAACTTTTTTCTAAGAAACAGTGAATTATATTCAGCTCCATATGGGCCGAGCCGAATGTGAAAACAAAAAGCTCTCACTATAGGCCTCAGCAAATAGTTATTATAGTCCGGACCGAATATAAAAAATCAAGAAGCCTAATCGGTGAAGTGTGGATATTCTAAAAGAAATTAGGATTTTAACTCTATAATCATTCTTTTACAAGGTAATTTTTAAAGTATAACTAGGAATTAAAATAAGTTGTGTGTTTGTTACTGTTAAGTTCATGTGAAATTCTGATTTTGATAGTGCAACTCTAGAGTCTAAAGTTTAATATGTAGTAATCACGGTTGTAACCGGAGAAAAGCATATAACTTCAAAACCTTAGAAATAGAGATGAGCATAATCGAATATCTTGAATTTATCTCTCAATATTACATACATGTAGCCTGACTCGTTGAAAACTAATCGATACCCGAGGATCTTTAGTATTACTTGAATAGCACAAAAAGTTTTCATCTGTTTCTGCGAGTGTTGAAGGTAAGCAGCTGCAGATCTCAGTCATCACCTAAACGTAGCCTGAATCTTCCTATTTTGAAGCTTTTCTCTGTTCTGCGAGATGAGAAACTCCCTCTAACTTCCATACTCTGCATCATCATCATCATCATCATCATCATCATCATCAACACGTCTATACTTGCGATAAAAAAAACAACAAAATAAAAGAGCTTTTGTAGGTAAGACTATTAGACAAATTCTGAGATTACGATTGAGTTTACATAGTAAAATTAAACATTTTTATTAGATATATTTGTTTGTTATTATAGAACGTCGAAGAAAGTTTAAGAAAATTTAAAACTTCTTACTTTTAGTTGTCTCTGAGTCAGGGGATCAATGGACCAGACTTTGAAAAGTCAACAGTCTTTTTAAGAGTAGGAACAAATAGAGTACATTGTGGTTGTGTTTACTGTGATTTAGACATTCTTGAATAGTATACGTAAAAGATTTCTCTTCCTTGCGTTTCGGTTTTGAATGGTTCAAGGACAATTTTGACTATTGACATGTTTTTTGGTCCAGATTACAGTTTCTTTATGCCTATGGATTAAAGTTTTTTGATCAGCAGCAATTAGTTTCATGTCTTGCTGCTGAGTATGTATGAACATAATAACAAAATGTTGATTGAACTCACCAAGAAAAAAATGTTCCATAAAAAACTATTAATTTATTCCATAAAAAAAAATGTTCCATAAAAAATGTTCCGTAATATCAACTTGTTGAAATTTATTCCATAAAAAACTATTAACTTATCAAACAAGTGACACTGAACCACTAGACATAGAATCATCAGTACAAGTGAAAGTGATATAAGGAGACGGATTTGGAGGATCATGAACTTGAGTCACACCTTCAAGCATCTGTGTAACATTTCTCATGTTAGGTCTCATCCTAAGCTCTCCTTGTATACACCATATCGCTATTTTCACATATCTCTCCACCGTCTCCATGTCATCCATTGCCTCTGAATCATCCTCGGTCAGATCTTCCAGCCTTCCATGTCGAAAGCAATCGTAAGCCCAATCGATGAGAATCACGTTATCCTCAAGATCGACGGCTTTCTTGCAGCACACGATTTCTAAAAGCATTACTCCATAGCTATATACATCTACTTTGGATGTAATGGGACTGTTCCTGAACCATTCCGGTGCCACATACCCTCTTGTTCCACGGATGTTCGTGAGCGTATACGTTTGGTTCATCATCAAAAGCTTAGCTAGACCAAAATCTGAGATCCGAGGACTGTAATACTCATCTAGAAGTATGTTCTGCGGTTTTAAGTCGCAGTGTATGATCTGCTCGCTACACTCTTCGTGTAGATACAAGATTCCACGAGCAATGCCCATCGCAATATTCCTTCTATCTTCCCAGCTCGGTCTCGGGCGCCTGAAGAGAAAGTTGGCTAGCGTCCCTTGTGGTAAAAACTCGTAGACGATCATCTGGCTCCGTCCTTCGTTGCAGAAGCCAATGAGCCTCACTAGGTTCTTGTGGTGAATCCGACCTATCACTTTAACCTCATTCTTGAACTCTTTTTCGTTATCTTGATCAAGACGATCTAGTTTTTTCACAGCCACAGTTATTTCAGAATCACCGGACACTTTTAAAAATCCTTTGTAAACTATACCAAAGGCTCCTCTTCCAAGCTCTTCCGTGAAATCTCTTGTAGCCGCCGCAAGCTCTCCATATGTAAAGACTCTCATATTCAACTCATTTGCAGTAGTTGTAGCTATAGCCGCACCGATATCTCTCGCTTGATTTTTCTTCATCTCCTTACTCGCCTTATTCTTTCTGTACAAAGAAAGAAGTATGAAAATCGCAAAAGCTGAAGTTCCAAGTAGAACAGAACACGCAATGATCAACCGATCAAGTTTTTTCGTTCTCTTTCCGGTAATTGGACTATCTGCGATGGCGCGGTTTCGAACCTTAATGAATGTATCGCTATCACCACGCGGAGCTCTTTCACCGTGAGACAACGGAAACTTCTTCTTCCAACATTTTAGATCACGATTTGTTCCAAAAACAACCGCAGCACATAAACAGTCGTTAAGACAAGCAGCTTTACATCTTTCTTCATCATAGTTGGCGTAACTCTCATAATCCCCAAACGGCCAATTCGTCTTCTCTAAAGTAATGAACTCATAAAGATTCACATCTGAGTTTGCGGTTTGGTTATTCTCTGGTCTACAAGTCTGCATCTCAAAATCTGGCAAGCAATCACCATACTCATTGCTCGGATCCTTCAACACAAACCTCTCAGGACATTCACATTTTGGCCTCTGGTTGTTTCCTAAACTACATATATTATTATACCCACACGCCGTATTCCCAAGTGCATCATCGGGCCCACATATATTATCCGGCACAGCCCAAGCAAATACCCACCCACTATTCTCCTCCCCCCCTTTGGGATGATAGTACTCAGCGAAAACACCATCGAAATGTAGCACGGCACGACGATAGAAGTCGCTAGAAACGTCCGGATCTCTCTCTTTGACAACGAATCTTGAATTGTTCCTTTGAAGAACATACATGTACCCTGACTGGTTAAAAATTAATCGAATCCCGGGGTTGTTTGGATCGTTCGTGTTACTTTCGTAGTAACGAGAGTATATGTCTGATTCTGAGACAGTCTCGGCGTTGAGAGTGAGAAGCTGAAGATTTCCATCATCACCTAAACGTAAGCTGAACCTTCCTTTCTTGAAGCTTGTCTCTGTCCTACGAGATGACAGATTACTTCCAACTTCTATATTCTGCATCAATATCAATATCATCCGTAACATAACTTACGAGAGCAAATCAATTAAAATCATTCTAAATCTAACATAAAAAAAATCAAGTAAAGAGTATTTTCTTACATTAGGATTTTCCTTTTTTTATTTTTGACAAACAAACAAACAATCATAACTGAGGGTTTTCCTTTTTATTTTTTATTTCCTATATTTTTGGAATAGATCTCCCAAAGATTTTTTAATCATTTAATTCATAAATTTTATTATAATTTTTTTTAATTGATTATATTTTTATTTTGATAAATTTTGTTTTGTATTTAAATTATGTAATAAGTTTTATCAATTAAATTCTCACAAAATGGTATATGAAACCTCCAACAATTACATAGGTGATATATTTTATTACATGTCACTTATATATTTTTGTATTCATATTCGTCCACAAAATCACATAACACAAATTTAAAAATATATAATTTATAATATAAAATCAATCCCGTATATGATCATGTAGTAGTTTTTAAATTCAAAAGCAGAGAACATAAATTGTTATTCAGCTCAAGTTAATATCTATGATCTCATAATAAAGACCTAATTAATTACCTGATTAGGTAACAAAGTGTCGGTGGGATTTTCAAACGTCGACCACAAAACCACGTCAGAATCTTCTGACCCATCCCTGAACAGAACGAAGTTCCCCTCGTCAGTTATGCGCCCTCGAGAAACAGAGCCACCACTCAACGATCTCCACAGCTCCTGACCTCGAGGGTCAATGATAACCAGACCGCCATCTGCGGTTAATGTAACTTTCGAACCATCAGGGATAAGACCGGTGGTTGTGTTGACGGCTTGTGCGTGCCACACGATATTCTTGTCAGAAATCTTGTCGAACCAAATGGAGAGAGTGAAACCATCGTTTGGTTGGATCTTGCGGAACCCGAAAGCAAAGTCACCTGAAGGTGAACGCCATGAACTGGAGATTTGTTGGGACTCTGAAGCAGTGAGAGATTCTCCAACAGGAACAGAGCCGTTTCTGATGTTTTGAGAAAAAACAAAAAATGTTTGTAGTTGCAGAAAAAGAACAAGATGGATTATTAAACAAGAAAGAGAACCCATTATGGTGAAGCAAAGATGTAGAGATTAAATCTAGGTATATGTGTAGATATAAAGGGAGTAATGTTGATATGTTCGTTGTCACAGAACGTCGAAGAAATGTTTTAAGAAGACTTTAAACTTTTTAGTTCTTTCTCTTAGTCAATGACCCAATGGACCAGATTTTGAAAAGCCAACGGAGACTTTTAAATAGAAACCATTGTTGTTGTGTGTTTATTGGTCATTAGACATTCCTGAATTGTAAACGTAAAAGATGGATTATCAAACAAGAAGAAAGTCCATTCTGCTAGAACTTGAGATTAAATGTGAGAGTGGGTGTGTGTGTGATGTCTGTATAATGTTGATTTGTTCGTAACTATTGAGCGTAGAAAAAGGGTTGAGAAGACTATTGTAGCTTCTACAAACCTTTTCATTTAATGAAAATTCACATGTTTATTAAAAATAAAAAAGACTTAAGTATTTCTTGTTTTTAATTTTCTCTTAGTCAATGAACCATATGTTGAAAGAGTCAACAGTGTCTTCTCCTCCATACAATATTATTGAAGTCGTGAATATGCGTTTAAGAGTCTTTTAAGGGTAGGAACAAACTGAATAGAAGTGTAATTGTATGTTTATTGTGATAGGACATCCCTGAATTGTAAACGTAAAAGCTTTGTATTCCTTGTGTTTGGCTTTTGAATGGTAAAAGAACAATTTTGCTCATTGACATTTTTGGATGGTAATACAATTTCTCTATGTCTTTAAAGCTATGTGATTTGGATTTCCTATTCTCGATTAAACCGTCAAGAGTTTCTTGATCAATCGGGTCACGATATCAAACCCACATAATACCTCTCAGGCGAACAACCTTTTGTGTCAATCTCATTCAATAACATGTGCCGAAATAACTGATGCTCGCCTCTATAACATGTTTTTTTATATGTAAAGCTCTTTTTAATTTTTTTTTAATAAAAAAGCTCTTCAACATGATTTTTTTTTGTTCAAAACTCTTTAAAATGATATATTATTATCCCTATATTATATGATTTATATTATAAATATGTTCTATACCATATAACATGTAAAATTCATTTTGTTGTTAAATATTTAATATATTTTGGAACATATATACCATCATAGAATCTCATACTTTATTGTCTTACACTGAATTTTTTATACATTTTTAACACACATGCATATACCATATTCAGTTGTTTATAAAATAATATAGAATAGCTTTTGGAAATTTTGAATATTTTGAATACTTATCGTATTTGCACAAGCTTTTTCCATTTTTCAAAAATCAAATAATCATTTGTGCCATGCGGTACCTTGCTGCGACAACTTAAAGCGCAACATAATGAGCACATTTACAAGAAGACTAAACTTGAGCAATTTTGAATCAGTCATAAATTGGTAAAATATAGTGATCACCTCTACAAATGGTAGAATATTGATATATTCGTTCACCACAGTTTAAAAGGAAAAAGTTACATTAATTATTCATGAGAAATCATTACGAAGATATGATTCTTTGTTCTTAAGACGCAGTGAATCTGATGATAGCTTATACGTACGTACGTCTTGACATAGGAATTCCATCAATACATATAAAAACGTGACTAGCTAAAACATATCTCAGTATTAATAATGAGTATAAATCACCAAAAAAATGCTGATATATATGTTATGAAAATATTAAACATTAATTATATGTATATTATAAAGAGTGAGATAGTTCTACTCATTCGTAGTGGTAGGACGTAGCATCCAAGCCGGAAGAAGAGAGTTTGGTTCCGTCAACGACGATGCACCGCCGTTCTCTCCCCCAACTCTCTCCACAAAGCCATCTCTGCTCGTTTAAAGATAAATTAATCAGAATCATTCATAGATATAAGTTTCACACATATACAAATTTGAATTATATGCACATGGCACAATTTATCAACCTCTAAATCTAATTTGGACTAGTACTGAGAGAAAGAAACGAGACCTGGAGGAGGTTACGCAGTATTGGGGCAGAAGAACTGAAGAAGAGTTGGAGCATTGGACTAGTTGTCCTTCTTGTTGACCCGTTTTCTTCTCCCTCTCCTTAATCTATCATCATTAATTCATTATTTTGCCATTAGATAGTAATACTAGTCCTAAATCTACCGTTGTTGTCCATACCAAAAAAGAAAATCTACAGTTGCAAAAATTGTATAAATAAAATATCTGAGTTGTCAAAAATATTTCTATAAATATTAGAAATTAACCTCTTCAAGTTTACGAAAATTTATATCAACTTCATATATATACAAAAAAATTAATCAAAAGCAATTTTTTGATATATGTATAACTAATTATTTATAATGACCATATTTTGGGGTTAGATAATGACCATATTTTTGATAATTTGATTAATAATGACCATATTTTGGGGTTAGATAATGACCATTTCTAATGCTAAAAAACTAATAACCATTTCTAAAATTTTATTTTACATCTATTTAAATTATCCACTCAGATATTATTCCTATTTTAATATAATGAAAACATTATTTGTAATATATATTTATATATACATTGCTCTTCATTATGTATTAGTACCATTTTTCTGCTATTATATTTTGTTTATGTAATAGCATTACAAAAATTAGTAGAGAATTCTATGTGTAGTAAATTCAGACATTTTTTTTTTAATACTTTTATGGTATATTTATAAAATATTGTTAAACATAATCTTTTAACAAAAAATTTGGTGAGATGACATACTGACGTAAATTTATTTCATTTCCCAACTTTCTATCAATTTTTAACTCATATATATAACCACTACTTAGTTCAAAAAATAGAGTTGTACTAACCTTTTTGAGAAGCGAATTATTGTGATCTTGCAAGGCCTTATCCTGATGTTTAAATGAAACATGTAGAATCATGTCTCAAAATGAATTTATTTACGATGTAACTAATTGTGATTTGATAGTTGTTGCAAACATATATAATTAAATACGTCATACTCACAAATATGAAATAGATATGAAAACAATGTTTTTTTTGGTTGTTATATATATTATCTATGTAAACAAAAGTTGGAACTTTACCTTCTTCTGGAGCGCAGATATGGATTCGAACATAGCTTGGTTCTGCGCACATTAGACACTGGTTAAATAAAACATCACAAATTGCGAAATTTCAATTCTTTGCCAAACTCAACTTTTCGAGCCAAAGCTTTACATACATATGTAGACGTATGTATCAACGTTCTCCTTTTACCTTTCTTGACCTAATGCTCTTGATAGCTGCATCGAGCTGATGCTCCAAGCTTTGAAGCTCCTTCAAGCTCAACGAATCAAGATCTTCCCCCATAAAATTCCTGCACATTTTCAAATTTTTTTACTCCTCATTCTATAAGAAAATCGTGCTTGTTATGCTAAGGTAAAAACCTGTGTCACCTTCCCTACCTTGAGATACCATGCCTTAGTTTATATGATCAAATTGACTAACAGAAATGAACTTTATGAGGATCCAAGACACAAGTCGCAAGTTCCTCGATAACCGTATAATGTCATAAATTATGAGCAATAACGAAGTCATGATACACATGCATCCCCTCTTAAGTTAAGGAAAGAAGTTGAATACATTACAAGTTTGTATGTGCAACCCAAAGTTTAGTTGACTTGGGTAGTCTTGTAAATATACGTTTTACTGACGATTTGATTAGCTCACAGATTGTTCCGCGATCTCAATTTGACATTATGCACTAGAGGATAATATGGTACTACATATATGTGTGTGTAAATTATAACATATATATATACCTTTTGTTCTTCTCAAGTACTTCAACTCTTGCCTTAAGCTTAGCATGTTCTAGAACCCAATTTTCCTACAACATTGGTGTATGATAGACACTAGTTACTACAACAAAAATACAACATTAAGTAGATATAAGAGACATAGCATAAAACTTACACTTTGTGAAACCTCTCGGCCAACAAGTTGTTTGTCTGAATATAAATAGCGATCATAGCGTTCAAGTATCCTCTCCATGCTAGATTTCAGAAAGAAAAAAGAAGTCAACACTTAATTAATTTGATCCATATAAAAGTCATTATAATTTCACATGTTATAATGTGTAACAATGTTACAAAGTAGCCAAAAGTTTACCTTGTTTGGTATACCGACAAAGAATAGCTACAAATAAGAATATAACACAAAATTGTATATAAAACCTGGTTTTGGTGAGTCCACAAAACATCATAGAAAACATACGTACAAATTCAATTTAAAGATTCGAGTTTCCCTCCCGACTCGGTTATCAAAGCAAAGTGTTTGATCACTATATATCTCTATGATCGTACAAACAAACACATATATACACTTACACAAAACGCATTTATATCAGTACGAACTTACATATATGTTTAACGTTATGTTATTGTCCATTGGATTATAGCACATCCTTTGTTATAAATGCTTTTTTTCATCGTTTCAAATCAACCTTTCTTTCAAATATATGCTATACTTAAGTATTAATATACGTGTTATCTACATACATATCTGCGTACGTGTCTGTGTGCACGTGCTTCCATACATCAAAAGGGGAAATCAAATCGTGAGTCTGTGTACTAAGTTTCATAATTTTATGCTATTTTCAATTGGGTAAAGAAAGGAAATTAAAAAGAAAACATAAACAGCTTTTTCCATGCGTCCGTACGTAAAATCCCCAAAAAAAAACCCTAATTTCTCGAGCCACTTCTTAGGGAACAAGCAAATCTACAGTAGATATGTAAGACTAAGATACAAGATTTGGATTTATTTCCAAGGCTGACGACGATCGAGATCGAGAAGTAGGAATAAAAAACAAAATCTGGTTAAACATCAAGAAAACAGATAGATAGATATGATCGATGTGATATATAATATAAAACATTAATAAAATTACCAAGAGTCGGTGGAATATTCGAAGAGTTTGCCTTTGGAAGAGAAGACGATGAGAGCAACCTCAGCATCGCAGAGAACAGAGATCTCATGAGCTTTCTTGAGCAAACCAGACCTTCTCTTTGAGAAAGTAACTTGCCTATTGATCTTGTTCTCTATCCTCTTCAGCTGAACCCTACCTCTTCCCATATCTCTCTCTTCAAACTCTCAAGAACAAGGAGAGAGAAACGACAACCCTGAAATGACCAAAGTATCTCTCTCTCTCTATCTCTTTCTTTCTTATGTCTCTCTGGGTATCTTTTGTGTTGATGAATGTGATGATAATAGCTAATTTTATTTATTTTCTTTTCTTTTGTGGACTTTTGTTGGGTTTCGCGTGAGTCTACAGTGACGTAAGTGATGTGGTATAAATACGGTATGTGACGTGAATACATAGACGATGATATTTGTGGAAAAAAAAGAAAAGAAACAAAAGCTACATAAGAGTGGAAGAAGAGACCAGAGTGGAGATAAAGTTTAAAGGGCTGTTTGGGAAATAAACCATTTGATGTGTTGTCGAGTTCTTATTGGCTCTTTTTTACAGTGATAATAACTTGTTCGTTAGTTTTGTGCCTCCCTTTAGCTTACATTGTTCCCGTACCGTACGGACATTCGTCATTGTTTTTAAGGTTAAGAAAACAGACCAAAGAAACTCCATGGATATTAAAGGAGAATAATCTTTAACTTCTTAATACTTTCTACACTAAAACTATTATAATATATATAGGGTTCAACTATTTGTTCAAAATGCAAATTGTATTTTGGTTTTAAATTTTTCTTTTTGCATGGAGACAAGTTTTTTTTTTTTTTCTGGTTAAATGCATGGAGAAATGTTAATTTATTTAGGGAGAAACAGTGTTCTTACAATTTCAAAAATATGTTAGATAAAAATAAATATAGTGTGTTTTAAAAGTAAACGAAAGAATTTGACACAATTGTAATAAAATCTTAGAAAAAACAATAACTTTATAAATGCAAATACAAAAATCAGACGGAACTTTTTTATGTTTGCATTTACAGTATTCGATCCTGTTAAATGATGTCATTTTCTTTAATTTCACGTTAAGTATGGATCTTCTCTTTGTACTGAAAATTGATGAACCTTCGAAGTGGAAGCTAAGCTGAAATTCAGCTGTTGAACCAACAAAACTCTTAAAATCAAATGGAGCTTATTCTATAGATCAGCTCGCGTTGCTATCTTGGACCAACCAATATGCATATATTGTTGACAAAAGAAAAAAACAAAAACCAAAAATGCCTATATTCTATAAATAATTCACTTGATATATTATAATTTCTCTTTTGACAGGAAAAAAGTGGCCTATTTATGGGAAGAGAATCTCAAACGTATGATACTCTCAATGTAGGAAAAGTCTCTAGACCACTTACCATTTTCTTTTACTCCTTTAGACCCATTGGATTTGGGTAGATGGATTTATTAGATACAATGTAAGGATTCTTTAAACAAATTTTAAAGATACTTTAATTATTAACTGGTAAATGTACAATTGTAGTCAATGTAAGAAAATATCTCTTAAGAAAATTAAAACCTTTTCTGACAATTTAATAACTCTACTAGGATAATTTTTGTAGGATTTAACTCTTCAAACTAAAGCTATTTTATGACCAAATAATTTCGTCTGAAGGTTCAACTTATTGAGTGGTTATTGAATAGGGAACGTGTTCCGATAAGAAGTTAACAAAACAACATTCATGTCGGTCCCATGACTGTTATATGTCTGACTCTGTGTGATATCGATATATACACAACATATATTGGTCTGAAAACTGGGAAATCCATTTTAAAATTTGGTAACTGATCAATGAATTGATAACTGAAGTCTGCCATCCAACATAAACTAGTTTTGCACATTAGCAAAAACAGAATGAATATCAAGTTATGTAAGAATTAGTAACTGATATCGTGAATCATCGTAATTAATTATTTTTAGTTACTTTCAGACGTAAATTTGTTTATCTTGCTCTATGTTCGTACTTCTATTGATGAGCGCCTTTGAAACAAGAGATAAAATATTCCTCACATTCATCGAAATCTCTCCTCTCCAACCAGAGCCGTGCCTATTTGGTAGAAATAGAAACACTCGCCTACGGTATACAATTTTTCATAAAATTTACAGGGGCATATTTATTACATATTTAATGTTATGTTGTTTATATGTAAGATGTTTGTTACGATTTTTTGGTTCTTGACCTTAATAGCCCATCATTAACTCAAAATTAAGCCATTTTTCTTTTTAAAATTAAGATCAGTTTATGTTTGTTTTTTCTCATGAGCTTGTTTCTTTGCCCACTACATTAATTCTTCTCTTTTGTGTCTTTACCAACTTCTTTTTTAATCAATTTTTATCAAAGCTAGTTATGTGTATACATGTTTAAAATCTGAAAATATATATTTCTATATTGAATATCTCATTTTATATATCGTTTATATATATTTTTATCAATCACAAAATAATTTATCGTTTTACTGTTAACAATTGATCATGCAGTTACTTATAATTCTGTTTGTATTCATTATACAAATATTTAAGCACTAAACAAAAATTTTATATGATATTATATAAAATATTAAACTTTTATTTCGCCTATGTACTTAAAAACTCTTGGCACGGCTCTGTCTCCAACATCTCAAAATTTGTGATCTTCTCCCAGAACTGTTATTGGTTACTGTTTCTATCAGAACTGTGTGACTGTGGCTGAAGGCTTGTTGTCTTTCCTCCTCTACCAAAGGTGCTTTCTTCTTCTCTAATTCTATTTGTTTGCTTGTTCAACTGCTTGAGCTGTAATTGATTATATATAGGGTTCTTTTGAATTTTGTAAAAGAAAATTTCCTATTTGTAAAGATAACATTCTACCAGAAAAAAAAAATAGGCTCAATCCTAAATCTAAATTTTGTTTATTGAACACATCAAAAGGTTCTTCCTTCTTCTCTACCAATTGGTTCACTTGCCCAGCTGCTAGAGTTGTACTTAATTACAGGGGTTTTCTGTCTTTTGTAAAAAAGGTTCCTGTTTCTAAAGAAAGCATTTTTAACAACAACAAAAAAAAGTTGACAATGGTACGCCTTGAGAAGCAAAATTATTGTACTTTAATAAATTTGAAATCGGTGATAAATTGTTGAATGCAATCCTAAATTATAAATGTATTAGAATTTTAAATCTGTGGTAAACTATATAGTATGCAATCCTAAATCTACTATCTAGAAATCTAAGTTTTTAATCATAAAATCTAAGTTTGTATTCTAAATTCTTTTTTTTTGGACAAATTAAAGTTTTTTAAAATCTAAGAAGCGCCAAATCTAAATTTTGTTTCTTGAAAATATCTTGATGTGCCTATCAAAAAGAAAATTTCTTAACGTGTATTTACTACCTAATAACCTCTAGCACTTGGATTATTCAACCTGATTTTTTATTAGGCTGAACTAACTAGTCTAGACTGACACGAAGTATGTACTTTCTGCTAAACAAATACAGATTATGTAAGAAAATAAAATATATAACCAATTTGGAAAAAATAAAATATATTTGACTATACTTCAGATAACCCAAAATATATATTAATATGAAGATTTCTGTATTAGAATCCTGGGAGTGAAGGTAGAAATATTCTATAATAACTTGTATATTTATTCTTGGTAGCGTATAAGTGAACGAGGAGACAAATATATTATATAAAAATATTAAAAAGAGTATATAATTCTCTACGATCATATATATTGAGGGTGTCCGGTTAGCAATATTTTGGCATAGACAAACACTCGTCCGACTAAAATGTAAGTAAAGGTATTATAGACTATATAGTATATACCAAAATTGGACCACATGAACAAAAAGATATGGACCACATTTGGGTGTTGATGAGCCCTAAACATCTAAATGGATGGATAGTACCTAAACGTATTTAATTTCTCTGAATCGTTATTAACATAAATTTGGTTCTCTCCTTAGTACGATAAATGTTTGCCCTCTTAGATCAAAACTTTGGATCTTTTTTTTCTGCTCATACCTTATGTTAAGTCCACATCTCAAGACCGCATATATTATATCGCACGTTGTCTTGTCAAACTTATATACCAATATATAGTGGACATAAACCTCATATTTTCCATTATTAATATTTATAGCGAATCATCCTTTTGTGAAATTTGAATTTTTAGATATCAATCGTTAAAAGCTTTTAATTTACGAACATATGTCAACTTAGGACCATTTTAACATCACGCCTTGTCTATTTTTTTTTCTGTGTGTGACCACACTCGTACATGATATTATTCGTACGCATATATATATGGTATGGTGCAAAGAGAAAAATTCTACGCCAATATATTGACATGAAAAAATATGAATAGAAGTTTTTTTCCCACCATACGGGCCTTCATCATGATTACCACGTTCTATTTATTTTTTGTGGAGAAACTTGAATTGCTGTTATATAGGCATGTTTGAAGTTTGTGAGGTAATGATTTACCCAAACAAATACCAAACCATCTTTAACGGTTACTAAAATATATTAAGAGAGAATGTTAACAATATTGTTGACCCAGTCACATGTTCTTATATATATATTATTCTTTCATTTAAATGTTTTTATTTCAAATAAATATACTTTATTTTTTTTTAATTACAATTAATTTTGATTTTATTCAATTATGCATACACAGGTCATACAAAGACTTTTTAGCGAAAATTGACATGTGAACAAGGAAATTATGAGTCGTAGGACTATAATCTCCCCCTCTCTTGTCCTAGGATCAACCATTGTTAAGGTATAAATAATCTCTTCTCAGCAAAAACTCGGCATCCCTTAAAAGAAATGTGTGCTAATTAACCATATACAGTAAAGTGTTATGCCATGACTACTTTTCAAATCTTACTATATGATAGAATAGACTATCTAATACTAAATTAGTATTGAATAGTTTTGAAAAGTAAAAAAACTATTACTTTACCAGGTAAAAGTAATAACTAAAGTCGATACCGAAGATAACCTTTTTTTTTTTTCATCTGGTAGAATTTTTATAAAAGAGAACCAAGTTACAAAGTCGGCGATTAAAAACATAATCCCGAAAACTAAGCCGGCGGAAACAACACATCCCCGGAAACTAAGCCGACGGATAACAAGATATCCTCGGAAACTAAGCCCAAAGAG